GGAGCACAGGCTCCGGACGCGCAGGCTCAGCGGCCGTGGCTCACAGGCCTAGCTGCTCCGTGGCATGTGGGATCTTCCCGGACCAGGGCACGAACCCGCGTCCCCTGCATCGGCAGGCGGACTCTCAACCACTGCGCCACTAGGGAAGGCCTGATCTCATCTTTTTAATTAATTAATTTGTTTGTTTGTTTGTTTATTTTGGCTGCACAGGGTCTTAGTTGCAGCACATGGGATCTTTGTTGAAGCAGGCAGGGTCTTTTAGTTGCGGCTAATTGTGGGATTAGTTGTGGGATCTAATTCCCTGACCAGGGATTGAACGCGGGCCTCCTGCATTGGGAGCATGGAGTCTTAGCCACTGGACCACTAGGGAAGTCCCCAAGGTGATCTCATCTTGATATCCTTAACTAATAATACCTGAAAGACCCTATTCCAAATAAAGTCACTTCCTGAGGTCCTGGGTGGACATGAACTTCGGAAGACCTCATGTAACCCCTACAGCTGTGAAGCCAGAATTCTTGGCATGGCGTTATTGAAGAAGGTGCTTATCCAGCAGCCTCTGCTATTTCAGACAAGACAAGGCCAGCAGGGTCGGGGCAGAGCCGGGTAAAAAAACAAAAACAGAACAAGAGGGACTTCCCCAGTGGCGCAGTGGTTAAGAATCCGCCTGCCAATGCAGGGGACACAGGTTCAAGCTCCGGTCCAGGAAGATCCCACATGCCGCGGAGCAACTAAGCCCGTGCACCACAACTACTGAGCCTGTGCGCTAGAGCCCGCGAGCCACAACTACTGAGCCCTCGTGCCACAACTACTGAAGCCCACACGCCTAGAGCCTGTGCTCTGCAACAAGAGAAGTCACCGCAATGAGAAGCCTGCGCACTGCAGCGAAAAGCAGCCCCCGCTCACCTCAACTAGAGAAAGCCCATGCCGCAACGAAGACCCAACGCAGCCAAAAAATAATAATAATAAATAAGTAAATATAATTTTTTAAAAAATTCGGTATTACTGGCAACAACAGAAGGGACGAGGTACAATAGAAACAAAAGAATGTGGAGAAACCATCTGGCCCAGTTGCCTGCCTTGGTGCAGAGCCCAGGCCTCTCGCCCTGGAGAGAGGGAGGCAGCAGGGGCCGCAGGGGCTGGAGGAAGTCGGGAGGGAGGGGGCTCCGGCCTCAGAGTTTCAAGCGCCAGCTGAGGCCACCCTCCATATACTCTGGGCCTCACCCTCAGCCACGTGGGCTGTTGGTCACCATCTGACCAATGATGGACTCCAGACAACACTCAAAAGAGCCCATGTTCTTGCGCACAGATAAGGGGGCCCGACCTGGGGGGCTGGGCGCGGAGAAGTCCCAGGCACAGTGACCCCACGCTGGTGGCAGAGGGAGCCTGGCAACTGTCCTGAGTATGGACAGTTGTGTCCACTGCTGTGTGGGCAGTGGGAACCCCATTTCAGTGAGGGAGGCCTCTCGGGGCAGGTTGGGGGGTAAATTCAGAACCTTGTGGCAGTTTGGGGGAAGGAAGCCGGTAGGGGGCATGGCAGGGGTGCCTGAGTGCAGGGGGAGGGGCTCTGACCTGGGAAGGGCACAGCGGGGGTTGGGTCAGCCACACGTGGGTTGTGTCCTCTGTTATTCTTGAAGAGGTGAGTGGCGGGAGGCAAAATGCCAACTGCTGGAAAGTACGTACATCCACAGTCGGGCTCCCTCCGTGCCCTTATCTCCTCCCCTGTATGGAGAGTCCCCATCACTGTTTTTTTGGGGTTTTTTAAATAAATTTATTTATTTATTTATTTATTTATTTTTTGGCTGCGTTGGGTCTTCATTGCTGCTTGCGGGCTTTCTCTAGTTGCGGCGAGCGAGGGCTACTCTTCGTTGCGGTGCGCGGGCTTCTCATTGCGGTGGTTTCTCTTTGTTGCGGAACACGGGCTCTAGGCACACGGGCTTCAGTAGTTGCAGCTCACGGACTCATTAGTTGTGGCTCACGGGCTCAGTAGTTGTGGCTCATGGGCTCTAGAGTGCAGGCTCAGTAGTTGTGGCGCACGGGCTTAGTTGCTCTGAGGCATGTGGGATCTTCCCGGACCAGGGCTCGAACCCGTGTCCCCTGCACTGGCAGGCAGATTCTTAACCACTGAGCCACCAGGGAAGCCCCCCGCCCCCCCGTCACTGTTGACAGCACTCTATAAACACCTGGTCTGCTTCCAGTCTTTGCATTGGGACAGCCTCCCACCTGGGTTCAGGTAGGTTCACTCATTAGTGACAGGCTGGGTGGCGTCCTCCTGTGAGGGCTGAGGTCACACATTCTCCCTGTCCCCCTCTCCTCGCTCCCCCATAGCTTCCCATCCAGACCTTCATACCTCCACTGGGACCAGCACCTGGCTGTGGCCTTACTGGCCCATGAGGCTTCATGCTCACCTGTCTGGGGGCACAGCACACATTCCAAGGCATCTGCTAAATCACCTGCAGAGAGATGCTCCCCGCAATCTGCCTCAGTCTCATCTACCAGTTGCATTACTGTCCCCACACATGCCAACAGCCCCCCACCAAAGGTTAAACGCACTTTTCTCATTATGAGTGCAGTCTGGTACCTGTCATGTTTTTAAGTTATTTTTTTTCCTTCCCAGCGACCCCGGCTGTTTCTTTGCCTTTGTCTTGAGTTTTTTTGTTTTTGTTTATGAAAGGGCAAAGAGCTCTTTACTTCCTAGGAAAATAGCCTTTGGCCTAAGAGGCAAAAACTTGAGACCTCCCCTACCCCCAACCCCACCACTGCCCCAGGACAGGAATCTCCTTCTCTTCGCCCTGCAATCCTGGAGAGCTTCCTGGAGGCACCGGGCCCTGAGGGAAGCAGCTTGCAGACTCTGGCTGCCCCTTCTGCTTGGGGTTGGGGGGCCTGAGGCACCCCAGCTTCTCCTCCAGAAAGGATCTTAGATTCCTTTCGCCACAAACTGTCTTGAGACAACAGAAGTTTATTCTCTCACAGTTGTGGAGGTCAGAAATCCCAAATTAATCCTCCTGTAGAGCCACTCCTAAGGCTCTAGGGGAAGATTCCTCCTTGTCTCTTCCAGCTTTTATGCTCTGTGTGTTCCTTGGCTTGTGGCTTGTGTGTATCATTCCAATTTCTGCCACTGTCTAAACACGACCTCCCTGCCTGTGTCTGTTTTTCTGTCTCTTATCAGATCACTTGTCATTGTTGTTAGGACCTACCCTCATCCAGGGTAAGGATCTCTAGATCTTTACCTTAATTACATCTGTGAAGGCTTTTTTCAAATAATGCCACATTCACAGATTCCTGGGAGACATGTCTTGGAGCGGGGGTGGGGGGGGCCACCATTCAGCCCCCTGCAGGTGCCTTCCCGGGACTCAGCCTTGGCCCTCTGTCACCTGCAGTGGCACGCTTTTGTAGGTCTGCACTGGTTTGTGTGGTGCCTTTGTTTCTGTTTGCATCCACCACACCAAGGCTCTGTCTGAGCCGTCTGCAGAGCTCCCAGGGCAGGCCCTGGGCTGGGGCCAGGGGAGGGAGGGAGGCAAGTGCTCAGACTCTAGACTGTATGAGGCCGGGACTAAAGGGCTGGATCCTTTCTCAGGAGGGCAGTTTTGCAGAACGTGTCCACATTCACCACGTCTGACCCAGCCCTAAGAAAGGCCGCACTGGGAATTCCCCAGCGGTCCAGTGGTTAGGACTCCGCACTTCCACTGCAGGGGGCACAGGGGGCACGGGTTCGATCCCTGGTCGGGGAACTAAGATCCCACATGCTGCGAAGCGCAGCCAGAAGAAACAAAGAAAGGCTGCACCATCTGCATCCGGGTGCCCAGGTGTGAGGACAGTCCCCCGGGGTCCAGAGTGTTGGGGGTGCCACTGAGCAGCAGCCGGACGCATGGAGGGTGATAGAGTCACAGTGTCCTCCACAGACTGACACCCCAGCCACTGGCTGGAAAAGATCCCTAAGGCCTAGTTTCTCTTTGTTTGTTTGTTTGTCTGTGAGCAGTTTTAGGTTTATAGAAAAATTGCAAAAGTAATACAGAGTTCCCCTCCACCGCACACACCCAGTTTCCCGTATTAATAACATCTTCCTTTGGTATGGTACATTTGTCACAACTGATGTACAAATACTGATCCATTATTATTAACTGAAGTCCATTGTTTATTCACATTTCCTTAGTGTTTCCCTAATGTGCTTTTTCTGTCCCAGGATCCTCACATTACCTTTAGTCGTCACATCTCTTTAGGCTTCTCTGGGCTAAGATAGTTTCTCAGACTTTCTTGGTTTCGACGACCTTGACGGTTTTGATGAGAACGGGTCAGGTGTTCTATGGCCCTTGGCCCTTGGTTGGGATTTGTCTGGTGTTTTTCTCATGGTTGGACTGGGCTTTGGAGCAGAGGACCACAGAGGGGAAGTGCCTTTCTCATCACACACACACACACACACACACACACACACACACACACACACACACACACACACACGTGTCCAGGGCACGCGCCTTCAGTGTGACTTATCACTGTGGTGTTGACCTTGATCACGTGGCTGAGGTGGTGTCTGTCAGGTGTCCTCACTGTAAGGTTACTCCCTTCCCCCCTTTCTGTGCTGTGCCCTTTGGAAGGAAGTTGCCACATGGCCCACACCTAAGGGATCATGCTTACGCTTCCCTTCCTCCAGCACTGGGCATCTGCGTAATTTATTTGGGATTCTTCTGCCTGGGAGATTTGTCTCTTCTCCCTCATTTATTTATTTATTCAATCATTTATTTATATCCATGTGGACTCTCGGCTATCTATCTTACACTTTGGGTTATAATCCAACACTTCTGGGACTTCCCTGGTGGTCCAGTGGTTAAGACTCTGTGCTTCCACTGCAGGGGGCACGGGTTCGATCCCTGGTTGGGAAACTGAGATCCCTCATGCCTTGGTGCAGCCAAAAACAAAAAAACAAACAAAAAAACCCAACACTGCTTTATTGATTTTGTTGCTCAGCGTTCCTGCTTTGGCCACGAGGAGCTCTTTGATTTGCCTTTGTGTCCCATTTTCACAGTCCCATTGACTTTGGTTCCTGCCTGACACCTCAGGGTGGTCCAGGCTCATCGTTGAGTTTCTGGCCCCGTCTTAGAAGCAGCTGTTCATCCCCGAGCCAGGGACCATTTTAGGTAGGAAACAGCGGCAGAGGCCACCTGGAACAGAATCCTGCTTGTGCTTCCTAGGATGTTCCGTACCAGCGGGTGCCTGGGAGGACCTGGAGGGCAGGAGGGGCTTCCAGAGCTGGCTCAGGGGGGCATCTGCCTCGTTTGCATCATTTTACAGGAAAGCATATTGATTCATTGGGTGATTTTAAAGCAAGGGATACCTCCAAGCATACCGGTGCCCAGTGGCATCTCCGTGACACCAGTCCTTCATCCTTTTTTCCTCCTGGTCCCCTCCGTGTGGTTGGCTGAGCTTTGAGTGCGCCTGCACTAGGAGGTTAAAGGTAGGTTTGTTATCCGAAAACTGGGTTCACGTCTTGGTGGGTGTCAAGCAAATAGACACAACTAAGTCAAAGATGGGGAGAAGGAAGGATGTATTACTTGAGGTTGTTAGGGTGGACCCCGATCCAATAGGACTGGTGTCCTTACAAGAGGAAAAGACATTCTTTCATAAGAAGAAATTTGGACACGAGCCTGTGTTACCTGAAAACTGGGTTCATCTCTTGGTGGTGTCAAGCCAATAGAGACAACCAAGCCAAAGATGGGGAGGGGAAAAGGAAGGATTTATTATGACTTTCAGCAAGTAAGGGGAACACCGGGGACCTTTCCCAAAGCAGTGTCTCCCCGAACAGCAAAATTGGGGAAGTTTTAAGCTCAGGGTACATGCATATTCATGAAGGGGCCTGAACAGAGGAGAATTCAGCATAGAATTGGGGCAAAGGTCCACAGAGTCCAAGCTTTAGTTGATTGAAGTCAAGAAGGTCAACATAATTCCACCCTCCACCTGGGTGGGGGCCTTAGTTCCCAGAGACTCAAAGATATATTTATCATTATGTCTATCCCTTGAGAAGGAACTAGGACTCTGTTTTATCACTGCACTACTGTCTGTCTGCCTTTTCTCTGTTCCTGCATTCCTTTGTTCGCTTTAGATCATTAATTACCGAGACCTGTTCAAGGGCAAGCATTGCTGCCAGGCTTAGCTCACAAAATGGCTTGGGCCAAAATGGCTTCTCTTATGTCAAGAGAGCCATTCCTGGTTCTCTTTCTCCGGGGACCCCCTAACTTATCTGCTTATAGGTTTCCAGGGAGGAATCCTCAAGTATTAGGACACTTTACTATAACTTGCCCGCAAAGGGCAGGCAGCCACACAGTAGGACAAAGATTAATTTTCTAAAGGTATTTCTGTGGACGGAGTCTCAGGTCCAAGCTGGCATAAGCCCAGGGGGCATTGGGCTCCAGGGCAGGTGGAGCCCTCCAGCCTCCACACCCTACACCCTGCCATGCCCCTGCCTCCTGCTGTGTGACCTTGCTGCCAGCTTAACCTCTCTGAGCCAATCTGGGCAGTTGGTACTAGGGTAAAAAAACAGAGGACTCAGAGGCCCATTTGTGAGGATGAAATAAAAGAGCTGATGAGAAGAGCTTTTGTAAATGATTAAGCAGTCAGGTCAGGGGACTGACATCCAGATGTAGGTTCGGGTGTCTTTATCCTGCAGAGAGACAGAAGCCAGGTTAGGAGAAGCGTGCCACTGGGGCAATGCTGGCATCGGGCCACTTGAGGATGAATCAGAGGCCCCAGGCTGGTGGAGGAGGCCAGATTCTCACCTCGTCCCTTCTTGCTCCCCAGGACTGAGTCTCCCGCCATCCTGAGCAGGCCTGGAATGGGTAATGGTGTGAAGGAAGGCGTGGTGCGTTTGCGTGAGGATGCTGAGCCCATCCTGCCCGCTCATGTGTCTTCAAAGGCAAGTACCCTGGCCCCCTCCATTGGGCATTCTCACCCAGTCCCTCTCCTGTACTCGCACCCCGTTACAAATCACCCCCGAACACGCTGAGGGCGAGGCCGGGGAGTGAGGGGGTGATGCAGGCCGCCTCCTATTCCATTTTTATAGCCCCATTTGTGCTGTGGATCCAGCTGCCCTACCACTTGGCAAGAAGCCAAAACCTCGCCCAAATTTGACTGGGATGTCGAAGGTGTCCTTGAGCCCCTTTTCTCACTCAGATTTGCCAACGCAGAAGAATTAGCCAAAGGTGGGGTGGGCTGCAGGGGAACTCCTCGCTCCAGGGAGGAGTTTACCCTCAGCTCTGAAATTGATCTCCGATTACACCCTTCAACTGAAGACAAAAGCCTTATTCCCTCATAAAGAAATTGGATCAGGGACTTCCCTGGTGGCATGGTGGTGAAGACTCCGTGCGCTCCCAATGCAGGGGACCCAGGTTCGATCTCTGTTCAGGGAACTAGGTCCCACATGCATGCTGCAACTAAGAGTTCACATGCCACAACTAAGGAGCCCATGTGCTGCAACTAAGTAGCCCGTAAGCTGCACCTGCAGGAGCCTACCCGCTGCAACTAAGACCCGGCGTGACCAAATAAATAAATAAGTAAATATTTAAGATAAAGAAAAAAGAGAAGAAATTGGATCAGCCCTGTGCTTGTTCACCATAGAAGCCAGTAGAGTTCTCCCAGCTGAACCTAGAACGTGGGCTAACCAACCCACCTTCACTGCCAGGCTGGCTCAGGCACCCGCAGGCAGTTCTCAAAGTCCATGGGCTCAAAGCCTGAAGCAGCAGCATCCTCTGGCCCTCCTGACCTTTCCCCAAATTCCAAGTCTCCCTGTGGAACGCCAGGTGGGCAGGAGGACTGGTTCTAGGGGCCACCGTCACCATGCTGGGGGCGGAGGGGTGGGCAAGCCCCAGAGCAGGCACCCATCCCTCACAGTTGAGTGAACTTCGCGTCAGAGCGTGAGGGAGATGTGGCTTTCCCTCCACTGGCCCGATGGATCCCGCCAAGCGGACACGCCCAGCAAAGGCCCCCGTGCCTGACGTGCACTGGGACACACACAGCGCTGGTTTTCCTCTGCGCTGGCTGGCACAACCCACGTCAGTCTTGGCCTGCTTGGCCAGCCCAGTGCAGGGAGCTTACTCTGCAAAGTCCCATTTCTTTAGTTAAGGAGCCAGGCATCTTCTTGTGATGTTCACCACTGGTGTGGATCCCATCTGTGGATCACCTGTTTCCTCTCCGTTGGGCTGCCTGCCTCCTTTTTCATTTGCAGGATCTCTCCGTATGATGGGTATGGAGACTTTGACCATTCAGTGATGTCTATGCCAGCCAAGCTCTTTAAAGAATAAGCCAGCTGTGGTCATTTAAGAGTCAGTTGGGGGGGCTTCCCTGGTGGCGCAGTGGTTAAGAATCCGCCTGCCAGCGCAGGCGACACGGGTTCGAGCCCTGGGCCAGGAAGATGTCACATGCCGCAGATCAACTAAGCCTGTGTGCCACAACTGCTGAGCCCACATACCTAGAGCCCGTGCTCTGCAACAAGAGAAGCCACCGCAGTGAGAAGCCCGTGCACTGCAAGGAAGAGTAGCCCCCACTCGCTGCAACGAGAGAAAGCCCATGTGCAGCAATGAAGACCCAACACAGCCAAAAAAATAAAACTTTTTTTTAAAAAAAAGGTCAGTGGGGACTTCCCCGGTGACGCAGTGGTTAAGGATCCACCTGCCAATGCAGGGGACACGGGTTCGAGCCCTGATCCGGGAAGATCCCACATGTTGCAGAGCAACTAAGCCCGTGCTCCACAACTACTGAGCCCACGTGCCACAGCTACTGAAGCCTGCGCGCTCTAGGGCCCGTGCTCCGCAACAAGAGAAGCCACCACAGTGAGAAGCACGCACACCACAATGAAAAGTAGCCCCCACTGTCATCAACTAGAGAATGCCCGCACACAGCAGTGAAGACCCAACGCAGCCATAAATAAATAAATGAATAAGCTATGTGCTGCCCCGATGCCTCTTTAAAAAAAAAAAAAAGTCAGTGGGAGCGTCTGCCGAAGGCAGCAGCAGCCTCCTCCACTAAGCATGTGAAGTGGGCTCACAGCATGTCCCTGGAGCGCCACATTGAGAGCTAGGGCTTAAGGATGTGTGTTCCCCATGTGCAGAGCTGGCTTTGCGATTGTAAGCACCACAGGTTGCGCAGGAAGTAACCTGCTGAAGGAGATGGAAGGTACACATCGGCTCCACTTCTGGTGCCCACAGAGCACGTAGACTCCCCGTAGGGCATCCCCTTTGCTCACGGTGGCTCGAGGTCAGCTGTCACCACATTGATTCACAGAGAGGAAACTGAGGCACAGGGCCTCGGAGCTGGTGCCAGGAACACCACTGAGCCTTCTGGCATCAGGTGTCCACAACCCTCAAAGCCAATGGGACCAAAGGACGAGAACCTTGCTATGTGACCCAGAAAAGGCAGGGGTCCCCCGTGACAGGCCTCTGTGAAGCAAGAAGATGGAACCCCCTGGTGAAGCTTGGCCTCAGAAACTGAGGGGAAAACACTGCTGCGGGACTCTGTTCTTTTAGGGAGAGGTCAGCTGGGCTGGTGAAGGGAGCACCGAGCCCAGACTCAGGCCAGGAGTGTGGACAGACCCAGCCCTTCCCCCTGAGCCACCCGCTGAGCTGAGCAAACTTGGGGCGTAGCCCTGGACTCCACCATGCCCACTCGGACCCAGGCTACCAGTTGTACCCCCAAATGCCCCTTCATCCCGCCCCTCTCGCAGCCTCCCCTGGTCCCATCCTCTGCCATCTCCGTCCTGGGTTTCACAGGAGCTGCCTCTTCTCTGGTTCCAGTTAAAATAGCCTGTTCACCTTCCACACTTCTCCATTTCTCTTTAGGCAAAGACCAGCCTCCTTGTCAGGCCTCCACACTCTGTGGGGTCCAGCCCCACCCACCTTTCGTCTCTTCTCTCTTCCCTGTGCCCGTCCCTTTCCCTGTGTCAGCCACCCTACCCTCCTTGTGGTCCCCCAGGGCCCCGCACTCCTTCTCACTGGGGCCTCTGAGTGTTGCGTTCCTCCCCCTCTAAGAGTGTCACACACTCATGCGCACACACACATACACACAAGCCCTGCAGTTAGGTGTACCTCATCCTTCCACCTTGGTTCCTTACCCCTCACCCCGCATTCTCCTGGAGCCCCGAGCCCCCTCCTCATAGCCCCTCCCAGATTGGTGATTGTTCACACATTTGTCTGAAGAGTTAGTTCATGTCTGGCTCCCCCCGTGGACTGGCAGCCCCGTGAGGGGAGTGGGGAAGGCTTGTACATGCCCCAGCCCCGCTCCACGTGTCTCTAGTCCCCTGAGGGCGCCTGGTCCGAGCAGACTTCACAGATTCCCGGGATCACTGAGCTACCTGCTCCTCACCAGCCTTGCGCGCTGCAGAGTGAGGACATGTGGGGCGTGTCCAGAAGAGCACTTCCAGAAAGTTCTGTGGCTGAGTCAGCAGCGGGGATGGAGACTCCAACCCGATGAGCAGGTGGCTTCCTGTGTGACAACTCAGGTCTCCCTGGGCCTCTAGGGAAGGAGGGCTGTTGGAGCCGGGGCTCGGGGAGCCACAGGAAGACTTGGGAAAGCACTGGCTCTGAGGCTGGCCACAGGAGTGCACGGTGCTGGTCAGCCACATCTGGCACCATCGCCCTTGCCTTGGCTGGATGAAGAGCCACAGATGCCAGCCAGCCCCTGAAGTCCTGATAGAAAGTTGTGGAAAGGAGACACGCTGAACAGTCAGGGTCTGCTTGCCTAATATGCCCCACCCACTCCCCAGACCACCAGGAACCTTTCCCCTGAAACACTGCAGTGGGAGAATCCCTCACACACAGGTGGTGGGTGGAACCAAGGCTTGAAGGTAGGACTGGTCAGGGGTGACGCTTATGTTTGGAGTTCGTCCCGTCGTAGGCCATCTCCGAGAACTTGGAACCTCACGGGACAGCCCAGCCAGTGCATGACCTCTCATGTGGTTGGTCCCTGTGGCCCAGGAGGTTTTCACTGTGTCCCACCAGGCTTTGTGGCTGCTGGACCCACCATGGCTCAGCCCGTGCCCAGCATGCTTAGGGCCTAGCAGGGCTGTGTCACTCTGGCCACTGTGTGTCTGTCAGCCCTGGACCAGGGGGAGAAGGTAGACGCTCAGGAAACTTTCCCGAGCAGAACAGACGCCTCCTCTCCCTCTCTGATGACAGACTGCGTGTTCGTGTGTTTTCTTGCAGAGTGATCACAGGCAAGTTCTTAGCTCCCTCCTGTCAGGGGCCCTGGCTGGCGCTCTTGCCAAAACGGCGGTAGCTCCCCTGGACCGAACCAAAATAATCTTCCAAGGTAAACGCTGCCTGTCCATCTATCCCCTGCGATAGAGAAGCTGCCAAGCAACCCTCCTCCCCCTCCACGGCCCCCCAGACCGCTCTGCAAAGCGGTTTTTAAAACGCCTCTGTAGAATCCACTTAGCAGGTCTGTTAGTGTTTAGGACTGACGTCACAAAGTACCACAAACCAGGCAGCTTAGAAGAACAGGAATTTATTCTCCCACTTTCTGGAGGCCAAAAGTCCAAATTCAAGGTGTCTCTAGGATTGGTTCCTGCTGGGGCCCTGAGGGTGGACCTTTCCTTGCCTCTTCCGGCTTCTGGTGGCTCCAGGCATCCTTGGCTTGTGGCCGCTTCCCCCCAGTCTCTGCCTTCCCCTCTGTGCCTGGGTCCTCTCCTCTTATAAGGACCCATGTCACTGGATTAGGGCCCACCCTCCTCTAGTGTGACCTCAGTTTAATTATATCTGCAAAGACTCTGTTTCCAGTTAAGGTCGTGTTCACAGGTGCGGGGGGTGAGGACATGGCTATATCGCTGGGGAGGACACAGTTCAAGAATCCATCTCCCTCCCTTCTTAGGGTTGAGCAGGCACAGGGTCCCCTGAAGATGAGGCCTTTCTGTCCTGCAAATGGTGGCCAGTGCCTGAGGGGTGCTGGGAAGGAGGACGGTCACAACCTGGGATCCCCACCCCTCAGCTGTTTGGGAGGAGAGGACTGCTGGGCCTCAGTTTCCTCATCCATATAACAGGAGCATTGATATCAACCTCCTCCCTGAGGACGAGGGGGTGGAGGAGTGAGCTGACGTGGGAAAGGACGGGCATGCAGCTGAGCACACGTCCCTTCCCCACCACACACACACACACACACACACATGCGCGCGCGCATACACGCGCATACCCAGGCAGCTGTGTTGTTCCTGGAACAGATGCTCAGCGTAGCGCCCTACAGGGAGCTTGGGTGTAACTCCGAAGGCAGGTGGTGTGCATACGTCCACACAGACGGGAGCGCAAGGCTATCCTGGGAACACAGCCGACGCTTGGGAAGCGGAGGATGGGGGGGGGGCGTGAGCCAGGCAGCCCTGGAGAGCGGGAGAGTGGGCACTAGGGCTGCCTGGGCCAGGCTGTGGAGAAGAGAGGGCAGGCCGCAGATGTCAGACACCCCCGTGGCCTTGTCCTGCAGGAGCCAGAGCCCCTTGGCTGACCCCCACATGGCTGGTGGCTGGGATGCCTCCCCCAAAGGGGTCTGGCAGAAGTGGGGTCCAGCAGGGGTGGGGACTGCTGGGTGTCAACCCCGGAGGGGTGCGTCCTCCCAGAGGCCCCTACAGAGATCCTCACTGTCCTGGGGGTCAGGTGGCAGCTGGGCTCCCCTTCCTGGGGAGAAGCCGGTGTGCAGAGGGGCCTGGACGTGGGCCAGGGGCGGTGACGAGGCTCCTGGGAGGAGGCTGACTCTGCTGTGGAGGCCCCCACCTCAGCCCTTGTAGGGGTTGGGGGGGAGGCATTCCCAGGGGAGGCTCTCACTCCCCATGCTCAGACCAGACCCCTGCGGAGGGGGTCATGCAGACTGGGGGGAGGGTCCCATCCTTCATATCTCACACTCTCTGTTGTGTTTTGTTTTGTTTTTTTCCAGTGTCCTCGAAAAGATTTTCTGCCAAGGTGAGCCACTAGGTCAAGGAGCCCCTGCTCTAGGCCCTTCAGCTCCACCCTGCTGGGCTGGCAGCGGCAGAGGAGGAGGGCGGTAGAGGTTGGGGAAGCGTTTTTCAAGGTGCTTTTTCCCATTGGTTCTCCCCCACCCCCGCCCCAGGCCAGCTCCAGGGCCGCCGGGTGACCAAGGCCTCCCTTGCCAGGCACCAGGGCCAAGGCCACCCATCTGCACCCTGAGCTCTGCCTGGACACAGCCCACCCTGGGAATTGATGGGAGACCCCCCCCCCGCATCCTTGGGGTAGTGGTGAGAGGACTTGACAGTCTAAAGTCACAGTTGTCATATTTGATTTATTTTTAAACACGGAGCAGGTGCTACCTTCTTAATAAAGGAAAAGAAGAATATTTTAAAAAGCTAGACTACCAGACGCCAACAAAACACCCTCTGTGGGGCTCTGAGCCTGCTCTGCAAGCCTGGGTCCCTCTGGCTCGCTTTCCAGTTCCCAGGGCCGGAGGACTGGGGCTGGGCGTGCGGGGGTCCTAGCGCAGAGCCCAGAGAATGCGGGGGAGGGGGACGATGGCTCCCCCCAGGCGCAGGGCTGGGCCACGTAAGGTGGGCAGGGAGGTCCAGCGCTCTGCCAGCAAAGGCACTGCTCAGGCAGAGCCGGAGGGCACTGACATTGCCCCTTTCCCCTGCCTTCCCCCCAGGAGGCCTTCCGGGTCCTCTACTTCACCTACCTCAACGAAGGCTTCCTCAGCCTGTGGCGCGGAAACTCGGCCACCATGGTGCGCGTGGTGCCCTACGCCGCCATCCAGTTCAGCGCGCACGAGGAGTACAAGCGCCTACTGGGCAGCTACTACGGCTTCCGCGGAGAGTGAGCCCTCCCTCCCGCCCCCCCCCAAAAAAAAACCCTCTCAGCGCGATTACATCACCCTGTTATCCTGTCTTCCACCTGCTCAGCGTTTCAGAACTTCTCTTGTTTATCCGGTCTCCCCTCAGAACCTAAGTCCCAGGACGGCCACTGATCCTACCTGTGCCCCAGAGCGGGTAGGGAAGGTGCTCGTTGTTCATTCATTCGTACGAGGAGGGGGAAAGGCGAGGCAGCCAGGGCAACTTCAAAATGGCATCCACCCAGAGACTCTCCCCCGCGCCGCCAGCTTCAACTCGGCTGGCTTCCTTGCAGCCAGTGCCGTTCCTCTATCCCTCCCCGCCCCCAGACCTGTAGGCACCCGGGGCGTTGGCCTCTGACCTTCTCCCCGACCCTCTTTCAGAGCCCTGCCCCCTTGGCCCCGCCTCCTCGCTGGTGCACTGGCTGGAACGACGGCCGCTTCGCTGACCTACCCCCTGGACCTGGTCAGGGCACGGATGGCCGTGACCCCAAAGGAAATGTGAGTCCTACACGCACAGCGACGTTTTCACCAGAGGCGGGGGCTCTGTGTCTAGTGGGGTCCCCGGGTGGGCTCCCTCCCTTGGGCCCCTGGGGTTTGGGTCTGGGCCTCCACATCCAGCTGCAGACAGAGCTGGGCTGAGGCTCTGCTACCTCCCCCTCCCCCGGTACCGCAGGGCGGGCCAGGTGTGCGGCTCCACAGCTGTTCCAGAAAGGCCGTAATTGGGTCTCTTAGCTTGGGGATCAGTTTCTGCTCCCATCCAACCCGCAGTGTTCATGTGGAGGCAGACCCAGCCAAGCGCTGAGCACGGCGGCGTGATCCCAGTGGTGAAGGTGGCTATGGCCTTGGGCGTGCATGGCCCCCTCGAATGCCAGAACTTCTGTGAGGTTCTGTCGGTCAGCATCCAGGCCTGTCCCCGTTGACGTGGGAAGAGGCGAGAATTAGCGAATTGAGGCCTCCCCCCGCCCCCCGCTCTGTCCTGCAGGTATAGCAACATCTTTCACGTCTTCATCCGTATCTCCCGAGAAGAGGGGCTGAAGACCCTCTACCACGGATTCATTCCCACCGTGCTGGGGGTCATTCCCTACGCCGGCCTGAGCTTCTTCACCTACGAGACACTCAAGAGCCTGCACAGAGGTCAGGAGTGTGGAGCCCGGGCAGCACCTCCGCGGGTCACACAGAGCTGGAGGCGGGTGGAGGCAGAGGGGCACTAAGAGTCCCCTGGGAGGGGCAGGCCGGGGGCCCAGGGTCTGGATGAGAAGACACATATCAGGCCAGCCCCGGGGAAGCTGGACTCCTGACCTTTAATGCCTCATTTTGAGAGCAACCTTGTGAAGTCCAGAGTGTCACCCAGAGGGCTGGAGGCCCCTGGTGCGCACACAAGCCTACGGGTGAAACCTAGACGGAGGGGAAGTGCCCTCGTGTGTTTTGGTAATTTTGAGAAACTAGAAAAGTACAAAGAACATTGTAACCCCACCCATAACTTCCCCCCTCCTGGTCCGATCCGTCCTTAACAAACTGCCTTATTTGCTCCAGGATGTTTTTTGTTAAAGAAGGAAAACGGTCCAGGTAAAGCTGAGATCCCTTGTCCAGAACCCCCAGCCCCACTCCCCTAGCCTCCTTATTAGGGGTGGGGCTCCACCCCTCAACTCTGTTGGAAACCCCTCTACCTGCGCTTTTGTGTAGCGGGAACAAGCCTTGTGCTGTTTCCTGGTTATGGGAAGCAAGTGAGCAGTCACCCCGTGCACTTCTGGGTAGTGCAGCTCTGACCCATCCTTTTAGCAGTGGAGGGGGGAAGTCCCCCACTGGGGCGCCGTGAGGCCATTTGTGGGTTTTCTGTGATCAGCTGACATCAAGAGCTCCTCTCCTCGTGTGGGTGTGAGACCCCGTTTTTTTGGTTTTACTCTCCATCCTCTGCTCTTCCAGTAACTGCTCTTGCCCTGGCGCCCTGCCCCCTTCTCACCCCTGGTGGTGCTGGCAGGTTCTTTAATGTTTTGCCAATCTGCTGAGTGAGTAGGACATCTCCCTGTTTTCAATTCCTAGTTTCCAATTTACAACACATTTTTAAAGAACCCCTGTGATCCCTTGCTGCCCCTTCCTCCCTCCAGCCCACCTGCCCTCACAGCACCCAGGGGAGGGTGCCTGTCAGGCAGGCTGGGCTGTGGAGAGGGTTCCAGACATGAGTGATGTTTTCTTTTTTTCCAGTTTTTTTTTTTTTTTTTGCGGTACGCGGGCCTCTCACTGTTGTGCTTCTCCTGTTGCGGAGCACAGGCTCCGGACGCACAGGCTCAGCGGCCATGGCTCAGGGGCCCAGCCGCTCCAAGGCATGTGGGATCTTCCTGGACCGGGGCACGAACCCGCGTCCCCTGCATCGGCAGGCGGACGCTCGACCACTGCACCACCAGGGAAGCCTTTTTTTTTTTTTTTAACATCTTTATTGGAGTATAATTGCTTTACAATGGTGTGTTAGTTTCTGCTGTATAACAAAGTGAATCAGCGATAAGTATACACACATCCCCATATCCCCTCCCTCTCGCGTCTCCCTCCCACCCTCCCTATCCCACCCCTCTAGGTGGACACACAGCACCGAGCTGATCTCCCTGTGCTATGCGGCTGCTTCCCACTGAGTGATGTTTTTTCTTTACTAGATGAGAAACAAGAGTGACTGGGTGTGAGCTCGTTCTTGGTCTTAGGACTTGGTTATATGATTCTTTGTGCTTTTCTGTCTTGTAAAAATCTTTTATCTCTCAAATTTGATTGAAAACGAGGGACCAGTAGGTGAGGAAGTAGGGAAGCTATGGCCTGGGTGGGAAGGCCCAGGAGAGCCGGTCAGGTCCTGAAATGCAGCTGTGACACTGCCGGCGCATGTGAACGCGGGGCGCAGGGGTGCACGGGTGTGCGCCCCCTCCCATTGCCCTCACAGCCCCTCCCCCCCTCCCCTGCAGAGTACAGTGGCCGCCTGCAGCCCTACCCCTTTGAGCGCATGATCTTCGGGGCCTGCGCGGGCCTCATCGGGCAGTCGGCCTCCTACCCGCTGGACGTGGTGCGGCGGCGCATGCAGACGGCCGGTGTCACGGGCCACCAGCGCACCTCCATCGCGCGCACGATGCACACCATCATGCGGGAGGAGGGCGTGGTGCGCGGCCTCTACAAAGGCCTGAGCATGAACTGGCTCAAGGGTCCCATCGCTGTGGGCATCAGCTTCACCACCTTTGACCTCATGCAGATCCTGCTGCGGCACCTGCAGAGCTAGGGGCCAGTGGGGTCGGCTGCTCTCGAGCTTCAGTTCGCGGTGGACCGCTGACCCCTTCTGTTTCTGAGCCCAGCGAGCAAGGGTGCGCTGGGTTCCACCCAGGAGGTGCGCGGATGCGCCTTGTGGAACAAGCTGGGGGGCCTGGGCTCAGTGCGCACAGGTCTGAGGGGAAAGCCAGTGGCCCTCGAAGTGCATTGTTGGGACCGGGGGGCCGGAGCTCCCGTGCTCCCCTTTTCCCGCCTCAGCAGGGCCAGGGCTGCCCCGGGAGGTATTACCGTGAACGCCCTGAGTGATGAGGGGCCAGCACTGCTTCCTGGTGCGCTCTGTGTCCTTGGACAGGCCCCTGGTTCTAGTGACCTGGTCCCCCCTGGGCTCAGAGCCAGACCCCGCCTGCCCCTTGTTGTTCCGAGTCTATGTCCGTAGTGGGGGCAGCCCCAGAGAGTGTGGGGCTGAGGCCTGGCCTCCTGCCCTGTCCCCATGAGACCAGCCTCCTGCTCAGCTGTGGCTACAAATGCAGCCTCTCGCCCCGCCCTGCCTGGCCCGCCTTTCCTGCCTTCACCACTTCCCCCGTAACACAACTCCTTGTCTGTCCCCGTCTACAGCTTGGGCACAGCCTTCTCCGAAGAGTGTTACCCCGATCCCAGACTCTATCCCGGGCCCCTGGGATTGGGTCTTCCCCTCTGTTGCGCCCCCCCACGCCCCAGTTTGTAATGTTCTCCGGAGGGTCACGCCTCCTCCGGGCAACAGGGTTTGAGGAATTGCCTTGGATTTTGGGTCTGAGCCCCAGCCTGAAGCATCTGCCTGGGTTGCCAGGAAGCTCTCATCCCCGCCCCACTGGCTGCACTAATGGAGGCTGGGCCTCAGGCCTTGACCCTCTGCCCATAGGCATGGGGGCTCGTGGGGAGGACCCATGGCATCTGGCACATCCCTGGCTCCCCACCTGAGCAGTTATTTGGCTGGGACATGGGGCAATTTAAGGCCCGTGGGGTTGTCTGATTTCCCGTGAACGGAGTACGTGGAGGCAGCTGGCCGTCTTGATTCTCCCAAAGTGAGAGCCCGAGACAGCATCTGGCCTGGGGGCAGGAAGCTTGGAAGAGTCAGGGTACCCCAGAGATCTGGTCTCACAGAGGAGGCCCCCCAGGGCCCACCGGGAATCACAGGGACTTGGAAACACCTGTTTCCTAATGACATTTGGAGTTTGTTTTTTTTTGGTTTGGTTTTGCAATTTGGCTGGCCCTGGGTCTAGACACAGTAAACCCTGACCAGTCCAATCTGGTTCCAGGACCAGGACCACCAGAGGGTCGGTTTTCACAGTGGGCTCAGTAGCCATGATGTGTGAAAGGGTCTGAGAGGGTATCTTTGTTGCCACACATGCATTTCCAGTTGTGACTTTCATTTCCTCCCTTTGTTCTGTCCTGTTTCTGTTTTTCTTGCCTTAGTCCCGTGGGTGTGAAGACCCCTCTTTCTGTCCTTCCTGCATGTTTCCACCAGCCAGCCCCAGTCTTGTCCCCAGACTCTCATTCCTGGGGGCCCAAGCAGCCTGTGATGGCTGTCCTGTTGGGTAAGCATCCGACCCACCTTCTCCCCCAGCCTTGCCCAGTGCTCAGGAGAGGCAGGGGCGTCCCTCACAGGGAGACAGGATGGGAACGTGAGGGCCCCCAGGCGAGAACAGCAGGGACTGGCGGTCCACCCCAGGTGGGTGAGACCAAATAGGTGGTTAGGCAGCACCCTCCTCTGAGCTGCAGGCTGGGCAGGAGCGGGGAGGGTCCCCCAGGTTTGCTGGCCCCAGTTCGCCTCCCCAAGGTGGCTCCCAGCCAAGCGAGCCTCGGCAGCATCGCCCCGACCCCCCCCCCAGCCCTGCACACAGTCGGACCTGCACCCTCGGCAGTCACCCCTCTCACTGATTGCCTGGCCTGATTTGGAGTTACATTTTGACGCCATGAAGACACTTTGTTTATATATATTGTTTATATATTTTAAAGATTTGTGACAAGAGAGTATATTTAATAAAAATTAAAATGACTTTTTCTCCTGCCCATGTCTCTTCTTCGGCTCTGGCCCTCACCCCCCATGAACCAAAAACAGGGTTGAAGTTATTTCGACAGATTTTTTTTTAATTTATTTATTTAATTTATTTATTTTCGGCTGTGTTGGGTCTTCGTTGCTTCGCGTGGGCTTTCCCTAGTTGCAGCAAGTGGGGGCTACTCTTCGTTGCGGTGCGCGGGCTCTGGGCACGTGGGCTTCAGTAGTTGCGGCACGTGGGCTTCAGTAGTTGCAGCACGCAGGCTCAGTAGTTGTGGCACACAGGCTTAGTTGCTCCGCGGCATGTGGGATCTTCCCGGACCAGGGCTCAAACCCGTGTCCCCTGTGTTGGCAGGCGGACTCTCAACCACTGCGCCACCAGGGAAGCCCCATCGACAGGTTTTTGAATAAACTTTTTTTTTAATGTAATTGCTGTTTGGACTGTTAAAATGATTGGCTAGAAAGTGCAAACTGCACAAAGAGTTTACCATGAAAAGTAGGTCTACCTCCCAGTTCCCTTTGCAGGGATGTCTCCCATTACCAGCTTCTTCTGTCTCCTTCCAGAGAGATCCTGTGCACAAAGGGACACACTTGTCCCTTTGGGGACGTCAGTCGGGATGGACCATGTGGTACTCAGGAAGCACTGGGTGGGGGGACACAGCTCAACTGGCGGCTGATGAGAACTCCATGTGCCAGTGTCTTTAGCTCTTTCTTCTTTGGCCATTTGGATTCCCCAGGAGTCTTCAGTCTCATGCCTGGAAGATTCTGTAATCTGCACACAGGGTAAGGGATAGTGGCTCTCTCCATTTAGCTTTATGTGTACTCACTTAACCCCATTTGCCACCACACCCCCTACCAAGCCTGGCTTCCCTCCTTCTGGCTGCCTAGTGGTACTGTGGGAGGGACACAGGTACCCGAACTTCCCAAACAGCTTCCACACCAGAGGCCTCCATAGTCCACTGCCATCTTCAGCTCAGCCCAGTGGGACCTGGTGCACTCAGTGCCTATGGAAGGTTCTACAGGTAAATCTGGCTGGGCTTTGTGTTTGCCTTCCATGGACCAGGCAGTCAATTGTGGCTCCTCTCTTAATTCCCACCTTCGGAATGTTCTGTAGCCTCTATACTTTTACTAGTGTTTTGAGAAGGATCAACATGAGAGGATGCATTTAGTTCGCTTTAAGCCTTGTGTTTAACACACTTTTCATTTTTATCCATGCAACAGAAGCACAGAGTTTCAAAAGTCAAACACCCGTCTAGGGGCCAGGACAACAGCATTCCCAGCTCCCCCCGCCCCACATGTCAGCACTTTCTTCGGGTGTCTGGTTATAACCTCACTTCCCTAAGTGAAATCATGCTCCCTGTTGCTTGTTCTTGTACGAGATATGTAGCAAATCAGTGGGGCAGCTGGGCTTGGGAGGAGAGGTTGGTGAGGGCGCTTCTCCCCTCAGGTGACACACACAGGTGAGGGAGCCTGCAGCAAAGTGCAAGGCCCCGAGGTGGGTCACGCTCGCCGCGTTGGCTGGGCAGCTATGCTGGGTCCCACACCATCACTTAGGCCCTTGGCTTCCACCCTGGTGAGGGAAATGGCTTTGCTTTGTCTTCTTTAGTCTTTTTTTTTTTTTTAATATTTATTTATTAATGTATTTGTTTGGCTGCATCGGGTCCTAGTTGCAGCACTCTGTATCTTGTTGAGGCATGCAGGATCTTTCACTGCAGCACGCGGGCTCTTCGTTGCGGTGCGTGGGCTTCTCTCTAGTTGTGGCCTGCAGGCTCCAGGGCACGTGGGCTCTGTTGTTTGCAGCACGCCGGCTCTCTAGTTGAGGCGCGTGAGCTCAGTAGTTGTGGCGTGCAGATTTAGTTGCCCCGCAGCATGCGGGATCTTAGTTCCCCCGACCAGGGATCGAACTCACGTCCCCTGCATTGGTAGGCATATTCTTTACCACTGGACCACCAGGTTAGTCCCACCTTGTCATTTTTATTCTTAATGCACATTTTACATGTGCTAAAAGATTGCATAGCTTACACTGTGAAAAAAACAAGACGGGCTCAAAATGGAGTCACTTACGCTAAGGCTTATGTCACCAAACCGAGACTTAATTACAGTTTCAGCTCGTCCAGAAATGGACTCTGAAACCAGTCAATCAGAAATTGCCTGATCAGCACGAGTGAGGTGATCTACCTGATAGACAGCTGCCATCCCCTAAAGGAAAGGGACCTTGCCACAAGTCCACTTTTCACTAATATAACTTCCTTGTTCCCACTCCCTTCTGCCTTACAAAAGTCTTTTATACAGCTCCTCGGAACTCCTTTCTATCTGCTGGATTGGATGCAGCCCGATTCATGAATTGTTATATAAAGCCAATAAGATCTTTAAAATGTACTGTTGGATTTTAACAACACGTACATTAGAATACACACGTGCACACACATGGGTTTCCCACCGCATGGCCACAGCTACAGGAAAATGCCAGTTGGTGATGGACCCTCGTCCTCCTTCTCCTGGGTCACCACGGCCTCAACAATGTGCCCATTTGCTGTGTGTGACCTTGGTAAGAAGGCAGTCCCCCTGTACTTGTGGAAGAGGGTGGTATCCCCCATGGCCCCCTGCCCAGTACCATGGGCTCACCCACCTCCCTCTCCCCCCATTTCTCTCACTTCTCACACTTGGTCCATTTCTTCTCACCCCCTTTCATTCTCTCTTTGTTTCTTCCTCCCAGGCCTTTGCTATGCTGTCCCTCCATCCTTCCCTTCTTTCAGCACTGAAGCCCCGGACTCCCCACCCAGCCTGCACCACTTAACCTGACAGCATGCAGAAAGCCCCTTCCCAAACCGTCTGGATCCTTTTTTTTTTTTTTTTTTTTTTTTTTATTTGAAGTGGGCCTCTCACTGTTGTGGCCTCTCCCATTGTGGAGCACAGGCTCCGGACGCACAGGCTCAGCGGCCATGGCTCATGGGCCCAGCCGCTCCGCGGCATGTGGGATCCTCCCGGACCAGGGCACGAACCCGTGTCCGCTGCATTGGCAGGCAGACTCTCAACCACTGCGCCACCAGGGAAGCCCTGGATCCTTTTTGTAAAAAGCAGCTTGCTCGGGCTTTCCTGGTGGTGCAGTGATTAAGAATCCACCTGCCAATACAGGGGACACCGGTTCGAGCCCTGGTCCCGGAAGATCCCACATGCCGCAGAGCAACTAAGTCCGTGTGACACAACTATTGAGCCTGCGCTCTAGAGCCCGTGAGCCACAACTGAGCCCACGTGCCACAATTACTGAAGCCCGCGTGCCTAGAGCCCATGCTCTGCAACAAGAGAAACCACCACAATGAGAAGCCCACACACCACAACCAAGAGTAGCCCCCTCTCGCCACAACTGGAGAAAGCCCGTGTGCAGTAACAAAGAACCAAAGCAGCCAAAAATAAATTAATTAATTTTTTTAAAAATCGGCTTGCTCCTTTATTTGTTCAGAAGAGTGCCCCCTCCCACCCCCACGCCCACCCCCACTGCAGTCAAACTGGGCACATGCAATCTGGGAACAATGGCTGGCCGTGGGACCCTCTGCCGCTGGGCCTGGGGAATCAGTTTCTAGGCAGAAGCTCAGGGTCCAAGGCGTGGCCACGGCTCAGGCATGCAGTGAAGGGGACTGGCACAGCGGACGCATCTGGGACTCCCAGGACCACATTGCACCTGGGGACACTGAGGGGGTGGCCCGCGCCCCGCTGGCCCAGGACCAGACCTTGGGGCTGCAGGAGTGTCTGCAGGCGGGCTAGGAGCCCGCCAGTTGCTGGTGGAAGTACAGGCCGAAGAGGCTAGAGAGCAGTTGGCAGGTGGCGATCCACCAGATGAGGAAGGCGAGGACGCCGCGGAGGAAGAGTGGCGTGAGCAGGCTGCCCAGGACCCCGGCGATCAGGGCCACGGTCTGCCGGGCCTCGTCCTCCTCGGGGCCGACCAGGCCATCGAGGGCTGAGGACGGGGTGGGAGACAGCGGGGGGACGGGACCCAGGCCCCAGGAGTAGCCGCCTGCGAGAGAAACAGGGTGGAGGGAGGGATGGGTGGAGGCGCAGGCGGAGTTGGCCTCCAGGACCCCCACCCATGCTGACACTCACCCGCCCCGCCCCAGGCTCTGCCTCCTTCCACCACCTCGGCTACCCCAGGCTCTGCCCGCACCTCATCTTCGGGCCCCACCCCAGGCTCCGCCTCTGACCTCGCCCCATCTCAGGGCCCTCCAGCCTCCGCCCCGCCCCCTCTATAGTCAGGCCCCGCCCCCGCCTCGCTCAGTCGCCGGCCCTCCCCTCCCCTCTCCCACCCAACAACAACTCCAGCCCCTCGCTCCAGGCTCAGCCCCGCCCCGCTCCAACTCCAGACCCCGCCCCCGCCGTCGCCCAGGCGGGTTCTCACCCAGCGTCTTGAGCAGCAGCGTGCAGTTGAGTGTGAGGATGAGCGGAGTCAGGTACTGCAGGCTCACAACTGTCACGTAGCAGTACACCCGCACCACCTAGTGGACAGGTAGCAGTGGCTGCAGCAGGGGACCTTCGGGCTCCGGGTAACCCCACGCCTGAGGAACAGGGAACCCCGCCCTGAGGCCCAGGTTCCCTCCCCGCTCGCGCCGGTACCCGCCGTTGGATCTCTCGGGCCTCGATGCGGCCGGCCTCCCGCCGCAGCTGCTCCACTCGAGCCTTGGCCAGGCACAGGTAGGCCTGCAGGTGGGGCCGGGTCACCGCCAGCCGCAGCAGGCACAGTGCCACCAGCATCCAGAGACGCAGCGAGTCGAAGGCCGAGTCGGACAGCCTGCGCCGAGAGGGGCGAGGGGGCTAGTGAGGCTGCCTTCTGCCCCAGGATCCTCCCCCAGGACGCACTCCTCCCTTAGTCTCAGAGTCTGGAGTAGCCAGAGGGGGCCCCAGCTGCCCTGCCTCCCACTTCCATACGCACAGAGAAAAGGACGTGCTTCCAAAGGGAGCCTGGTGCAGGAAGTCCCGCGCCATGGGCTTGGTCCAGAGCCACAGGACAAACAGGGGGGACAGGAAGCTGGTGTGCAGAAGGAACCTGGGGGCAAGGGCGCAGAGCGGGTAGGCTTGGGCACCCACCATCCCCACCGGCCCCTTCCCTAGGCGCCCTAACGCTCCATCCACCCGGTCCCCCACGTAACTGCAGCATGGGCCGGTCTTCCGACATGGTCAGTGCATCATGGTGGGTCTGGGCCAGCCGCAGGCCTGGGAAGGTGAGGAAGGCACCCAGCATGGAGCCCACTGCCGCCAGCCCCACGCGGATGGCCAGCTTGACCAAAGGAAGACTGGGAAAAAGAGAAGGGTCAGGGCCCCGCGGCAGGTCAGCACCCTGCCTGCAGGTCGCAGCATGCCGCTGTTCCCCCTCGCCTCCCAGGACTCACGCCCAGTCCCAGCCCTGTGTCTTCAGAAGTGGCTCCAAGTTCTGGGTCATACTGGCCAGACCTGGGGAAGACAAAGAGAGGGTGGTGTCCAAAACAGACCCCTGGGGCCTCAGAGCCTACTCTGCCCCCCTCCCAGACATCCTTTTGTTTTCCAGGTAGGAACACACTAGTGGCAGCCTGTAACAAGCATGAGGACAATTTTGTTCTCCAGTTATGTGAAGCTCAGGAGAATGTGCTAGACAGACACCCTTGACTGGACTGAGGGACATGGGGGCGGAGGGCACTGAGTCTGAGCTTCCCCGAGGCTGGAGGGTCATGAAGGGCTCCACAGGAGGAAATCAAAGTCTTGGAAAGATTTCTCAGTTCAGGCCCCCACATTTTCCACGGAGTAAAAGCAAATAATGTGAGCTCACAACCAAAATCACCAAACACACAAGACAATAAATTACCATAAAGGTGAGTCAGGAGAAAAAAACCAAAGGACAAATTTAGACCCCAAGGCTTCTGTGTGAAATGCCTGAGGAAAATAAAAGTTGGAATTGCAGAACAGGTGACATGAGACTACCTCAGAGGACCAGGTGGATTTGCAAAGGAATCAGTTAAGCTCTTCCAAAAGGAAAATATAATTATTGAAGTGATAAGTTGTTAAACAGCGTCTTAGAAGGAGCCAAAGGAGGAAATGACGAATTGGATCTGAAGAAATCACTCAGATTCCGACTAAGAAAGACAGGAAGGTGGGAAAAGTGATGGAAGATTAAGAGATAAGGAGGACAGAATAGGAAGTTCAATATAAGTCAAGTCTGAATCCCAAAGGGAGAGAAGAGAGAGAATGAAGGAGAAGAGATATTGAAAGGTAATTATTGAGAAGTCTGCAGAATGGATGATACATACAAAGTATATAAAACCAGATAAATACAAAGAAATCCATACCTAGACACACTGTGGCAAAACTGCAGAACACCAAAAACAAAGAGCTCACAAAGCAGTCAGAAGTTATGACAGATCACCTAAAAGGAAGGACAATTAAGCTGGCAGCCACTGTCAACAGCACAAAAGAAAAGGAACAAATAGAAAGTGAAAATGTAAGATGGTAGAGACAAGGCCAAATATGTCAGAAAACACAATAAATGTAAGTGGATTAAATTTTGAAGTTAAATGATACAGACTATCAGACTTGATGGAAAATATCCAGATAGGGAATTCCCTGGCAGTCCAGTGGTTAGGACTCTGAGCTTTCACTGCTGAGGGCACAGGTTCAATCCCTGGTCACGGAACCAAGATCCCGCAAGCCATGCAGCACGGCCAAATTAAAAAATAAAGAAAGAAAATAAAGAAAGAAAATATCTATATCTATATATTTATTATTATTATTTTTTAAAGTAGACATACCTCAACATGAGGTCACTGGAAGGTTGAAAGTAAAGGGATGTCAAAAAGATATAACAAATACTAATCAAAAGAAAGATAGTATTGTATATTTGAAAGTTGCTAAGCAAGTAGATCTTAAAAGTTCTCATCACAAGAAAAGAAAATTGTAACTATGTGCAGTGATGGATGTTAACTAGACTTATTGTGGTGCTCATTTTGCAGTATACACAAATATTGAATCATTATATTGTACACCTGAAACTAATATAATATGTCAAGTATATATCAATTTAAAAAGAAAAGAAGGGCTTCCCTGGTGGCGCAGTGGTTGAGAGTCCGCCTGCCGATGCAGGGGACACGGGTTCATGCCCTGGTCCGGGAAGATCCCACATGCCGCGGAGCGGCTAGGCCCGTGAGCCATGGCCACTGAGCCTGTGCGTCCAGAGCCTGTGCTCCACAACGGGAGAGGCCACAACAGTGAGAGGACCGCGTACCGCAAAAAAAAAAAAAAGAAAAGAAAAGAAAAGAAGGAAGAAGGAAATAAGGAAGGGAGGGAGGAAGAAAAGAAGGAAGAAAGCTGGAAAGGCTATATTAATACCAGACAAACTAGACTAAGATGGAAGTATTATTAGAATCAAAATGGGTCCATACATCATGAAAAAAATGGCTGATTTGCCAGGAAGACGTAGCAATTTTAGACTTGTAAACACCTCGTCAATTAGCCTCAAAATACGTAAAGAAAACACTGACAGCAATAACCCAGAGGCTTAAACCCCAGGCCCCAGACTGCAGCAAAAACCCCAGGCCCCAGACTGCACATACCTGGCTCCAGGCCCAGCTCAAGGGTCTCCTCCGGCACCACCTGCACCAACATGGCCAGGAGGAGGAAGAGGAAGGCGAAGGTGAGGCAGACTGAGCGCTCGCCCCCCTCCTCTGCACTGAAGTACAGCCGGGTCACGGTCAGGAACACCTTGCTGGGGGCAGGGCTAAGGAGGCCTCCAGTGCCTGCAGTGACCCCTCCCCCATCCACCACCCCCAACCAGTGACCCCCCAACTCCAGAGCACTAACATGGAAGTTCAGGCTTAGAGTCCTGGGGAGCAGAGGAGTGAGCTGCCGGGCAAGCCCAGGACACAAGGCTTACTGCTGTTCAGGCCTGTGTCATCAGCGAGCAGGAGGTCCTGAGCCAGGCCTCCAGCTTGGCCTCATCACACTGCCTGTGGTCAGTTAGAAATGGCCAACTCTGTCTCTGTCTGTCTGTCTGTCTGTCAGGAGGTCAAGTCTCCCTGACTCACTCAGCCACCTGGCTGAATTCACAGCTCCTGAGTTTCCCGTTCCTCTGACAGGCTAATAGAGACACCAGTCTCTATCTCCAATCTGCCCTGCTTTGCAAGCCCATTCCACAAGGACATTGTCTCCGACTTGGGTCCTCAAAGTCACAGTTTTGCCTCTGCTCTCTATGCAGCTTCCTAAAAAAATGACGGAAGGGACGTCTCTTTGCCAGCCCCTGCATCTGTTCTGGACTGCTGAGTTGCTTTGACCCAGAGAATGGACAGGGGTTGGGTGGACCGACTTCAGGCAAAGCCTCAGGAGGCCTGCAAGGCCCCCTTTTCCTTCCTGGCCGCTGTGGTGAGGAAGCTTGCTCTAGACCGCTGAAAGGCAAGCCCACTTGGAGCGGATATGAGGCAACCCAGCTGAGCCCCGGCCCAGGCAAACATGAAATAGTGACTGCGTTACACCACTGAGTTTCTGGGGCGACAAGGAGCCTGGGGTCCAGCTTCCACAGGCCTCCACCTTCCCCACCTGGGGAGCTAAGAGGAAGGATACATAGAGAAGGCGATGGTGAGCAGGCACCAGAACACAGCGATGTTGGTCTCCTTGGCCGGGCCCAGCACATAGTAGTAGGCCTCTGTGAAGAGGTACACGCCACCCGAGTACACCGCGAAGTCCACAAACCACTGGTACTCCAGGAAGAAGCGCAGGACTGCGGGGAGGATGCAACTGAGTCCCCAGCTTAGCCCGCCCAAGATGCTCCCCCCACCAACCCCACCAGGGTGTGAGCCAAGGGCCAGGGGAGCTGGGGACCCAGCTGTTACCGAGGGCATCAACGGCTGTGAGGGGACAGGTCTCTAGCTGGAAAGGGGTGTCACGGGGCACGGATAACGGCTTCTCCTCACTATAGCCATTGGCCCACCTGGGAGGAGGGGGTAATGTGTCAGAACAGCATCCTCCATCCTCCCCTCCCCTGGCAGTCCACCCCACCCCAGCCTGGGAGGCTCTACCATGTCACCCTCAGAGCACAGGAGGCCTAGGAGGTACCTTCTCCCCCAGCCTGGGTGTCCTCTGAATGCCAGGGTGGTGGCCAACACCCACCCATAGGGCTGGCCCAGAGCAAACTTCCAATAAGCATTAGACGCCAACTGGAGGCAACCAGTGAATGACAGTGACCATCTCCTCAGCCTGGGGTGTCCCCAATTCTCCTGTGCCCAGAGCAGTGCCTGGAAGTGGGCAGGTAAGGCCCTGTGCCCTCATGGCCTCCCCTGGAAGGGAGCCACTTACCTAAGACTGGGGGTTCACTCACCGCTCCTTCCTGCCTCTGGGCCTCTGCTTCCCTGCCAGGGCCCGAAGCTCTTCCTCGGAAGGGTGCTTGTATCGGAAGAGACTAAGGGCAGAGACAGGCAGTCAGGAAAGGAACTGCCATGTGAATTGCCCTAGAGAGTTCACAGTTTCCACCAGATTCTCAGAAAGGGTCCGAAACCCAAACCGGGACAAAAAGAGTTTCAGGAAACAGATCTACAGCTAGAGTAGGGATGAAGGAGAGCAGGAGTGGGGGAAGCAGCTGCTCGTCTGAGTATTTAGATGGTCTCAGCGATGTGTACAATCTGTCAAAATTGATCCAACTGTGTACTTCAAATATTTGCAGATTATTGTACGTCAATTACATCTCAACAAAGTTGTTTGTTTGTTTTAAACAAAACAAAACAAAACAAAAAAACCTCACCTTTCAGGGCTTGAGGCGGGGCTAGGAGAAAAACCAGGGAGGGCGGGGCCTTAGGGGCTCCGCCCACCGCCCGGGGAGGGGGTGTGGCTCACCTGCCATTGCAGAGCAGCCAGCGCGCGAAGGAGCAGTGAGGCGCAAGCCTATGCATGAGGGTGGCGGTGAGCAACGTCACCACCAGCTGCACTCCAAGGACAGCCTGCGGGGAGGAAACATGAAGGGCAGTGCCAGCCAGAGGATCACAAGCTCACGCTTCGGAAGCCCGGCTATTTATAGAGACTCCGGGGCCAGGTTGTGGAGGCAGGGCCACCCTGGCTCAAGCTGCTCCTTGGGGAAAGGTCCTGGGGTGGGCTCAGACCCAACCCTGGGAGCCCCAGCAAAACGCACGTCCCTCCCCACCACCTGGCTGGGGTGTGGGGCGGCGGAGAGCACGTGCTGGAGCAGACACTGGGGCCCGCTTTCCTCCTTGTGCTAAGGATTTAAGGATTTAAATCTCCCCAAGCCTCAGTTTTCCTCATCTGGAAATGGGGTGCTTCCTATTTTGTTTCGTGTACTCTCACGACCACCTTCTGGACCTACAACGAGCCGGGCACACCCAGTGGAAGCGCTCTTCTCCCACGGTCCCACGGATGCAGTTTTTGTAACTGTGTCTCAGGTGAGCTTGTAGTTTCAACGTTCACCCAGGTGGCTCTGTCCCCCAAGTCTTTCCCATCTTAAATTATCCCTGATAATTGAAGACACCCTCTCTCCCTCTCCCTCCCTTTGTAATCAGCCAAGGAGGAAAGCGATCTATTCCTGGCCCACTACCTGTTTCAGGATAAAGACTTACACGTTTGAGTGGGATGACTTTTTTTAATTAGGAATTTTCTTACCAAGTTCTACTAACAAACTTTTAAACAACAATTCATAACACATTTTCATACACTTATTTTAAAACATTTTAGAAAAAATGTTTTTGGTAATCAGTCTGAAGCTGGGTTTTCCTGCTTCAATGCAGTAAATACCAATTTGCTTTCGTAATTATGTAAAATTAAGTGCTCAGGAGGGCTGTCTGCTAGTATTATGGTATTAACAACTAAAATGAAATAAAGATTACATTAATATTAAAACTAATTGTTAAAATTATCCTTTAATCAGGCAAAAATAAGCTAAATTTAATAGGGAAAGCTCTAATGTGATGGCTATCGGGCCTAACACTGTAATTCAGAATGACTGCTGAGAAATCCATCATTAAAATAAAAGACTAATAGGATATTTTCTTTATGCTGTGATTTGTAAACTGAGGCCAGGAACGTTTTTTCAGTAATGAGGTGGGGCGTCATCTTTCTGGTCTCACTGCTCACCCTCCCCCCACCCAAATGCAGACTGGCTAGCAGGCATTAATGACCCAGAGCACAGTTGGGCCCCTCAAAGCGGTCCCGCCCTTCCTCCCAGGACACCTCCTCCACTCCTCCCTGGAAACCCAGCACCTCCCAGCAGCTGCTCCCCAGTCTCCCTGGCTCTCCAGACACCTCTCCCTTGTGACCCATCATCCCCTGGCAGAACCTCTCTGCCGAGCTCGCAGACCATGCCTCCTCCAGGCCCTTCCCTGGAGGCCCCAGCACCCACCCATCACTCCCATGGACACTGCTCTCGCTCCTCCAGGCAGCCCAGGCCCTTCCCAGTCTCATAGTAAACGTCCAACTCCGCTCCTCAGCCCACAAGGCCAGGCGGACCCAGCTCAGGACCAACCCGCCTCACTGCCTGGCTCTCTCCCCCGGCGTCCTCTACCCCCAACCATTCCGGTCTCAGAGACCCTCCCAGACCCCCGGGCTCTCCATCGCTGACCCCATTACCCTTGGACACCTCCCAGGGAGGAGACCCATGGTTCAAACTGCGATCCCAGCACTCGGAGAGGAAGGACGTTAGAAAGGAAGGAGAGGGAGAGAGAGGAAGGGAGAAGAAGAGGGAGGAAGGATGAAGAAGGAAGAGAAGGGAAGGAGGGAAGACATGCATCCCTCCACCTAAGGCTCCCGAGGTCTGTCCAGGGATGTTTCTCACCGCCCACCCCCAGCAGCCTCCAGTCTTAGGGTCCACGCTCTGCAGATCTCCAAAGATCTCTGAAGCATCCCATTAGCCCATGTCCCTCCTCTGCTCAAAGCTCTTCCCTGGATCTGTGATCCCAGAATCCTGCTAAGTAACATCAATGCAACTTTCCTCCATCCCGTTTCCGAGAGCCCTTCCCCTCACCTCCCACAACATCCCGCACCCTGGAACGACATCCACTTTCATCAGCCCCTTCCATCAATGCTCTTACTTCAGACCCACCTCCAGCGCCCCTCCTCGGGGTCACCCCCCACCCCAGGCAAGTTCAGGCCGCCTTCCTGGCCCCTCCATCCTGTCTCTCCCTCTGTCCAGTCCTAGGGCTGGGGGGTCTCCGCCCTCGCCCAGCGCCAGCCTGACCCACAGGGGCCAGGCTAAGCTTGAAGAATAAACTCAGTGGGTTGGATCCAGAACTACGTGAGACCTGAGGGTTCCAACTGTGCTGTCTCCAATTCTGGGACCCTCCCCCGCCCTGAGCCTACCCAGATCCCCTCCGCATGGCCCCCTCCTCTCAGGATTCTCCCTGGTCCTTCGGCACACCCCACACCCGTAGGGAGCCCCGATGGACCTTGTCGGCGTGGCCCCCACGCTCCCGCAGGACACCATCCCCAGAGTGGGCCCCGGGGGACCCCAGATCTCCCTCACGGGGCTCCGAAGGTGTTCAGATCCCCAGTACCCTCCACGGGACGACACCCTCAGCAGGACCCCAGGCCCCTAGAGGGCCCCCCAGAGACTTGTCAGAAGCCCAGAACACTCAAGGCCTTCCAGTTCCCTTGTACAACCTCCGACCCCCTCATAGGTCCCGCAGTGAGACCCTGACACCAAACAGGGAAACACGGCCCTCAGCGCAATCCCAAATCCCTCAGAGACCTCAGTGCCCACAAAGGGATCCCGGTCTCCTCGGTGTCTCCCTGGACCCCCCTCGGCGGAACCCCTAGCCCCTCAGGGCCCCCCATGCTAAGAGTCGCCGGCTTACCATGTTGCCTGCTGGAGCGCTGTGCCGGGACCCGTGGGCCTGGAGCTCGGAGCCCCGCTCGGAACTCGACCAATCAAAACCAGACTTTGGTCTGACAAGCAGCCCACCTAACCAATCGTCAGGCTTGGAGCCGGGGGCAAATCAGGAGGACAAGGAGTCTCTCGCATTGCATGCCGGAAGTTGTAGTTCAAAGTTGCTCAACGAGCTCCTATCGGGGTCTCTGGGACCCCAGGGTGACCGGTGTCTCTGAGACTCAGTCTCCTCACCTGCACGTATTTCGCACGTTTGAGTGGAATACACTTATTCAACCAATCACTGTCTCCCGCTGGGGATTTCTGAGCGTGGAACTCTCTTGATCAAGAATATTTGGTGGGGGCTTCCCTGGTGGCGCAGTGGTTGAGAGTCCCCCTGCCGATGCGGGGAACACAGGTTCGTGCCCCGGTCCGGGAGGATCCCACATGCCGCGGAGCGGCTGGGCCCGTGGGCCATGGCCGCTGAGCCTGCGCGTCCGGAGCCTGTGCTCCGCAACGGGAGAGGCCACAACAGTGAGAGGCCCGCGTACTGAAAAAAAAAAAAAAAGGAGAATGTTTTGTGGGGGCTTCCCTCGTGACGCACTGGTTAAGAATCTGCCTGCATACATGGGTTCGAGGCCTGGTCCAGGAAGATCCCACAAGCGGCAGAGCAACTGAGCCCGAGCGCCACAGCTGTTGAGCCTGCGCTCTAGAGTCCCCGAGCCACAACTACTGAAGCCCGCGGGCCTAGAGCCCGTGGTCCACAAGAGAAGACACCACAATGAGAAGCCCACGCACTGCAACACCACAACTAGAGAAAGCCCATGCGCAGCAAGGAAGACCCAAGGCAGCCAAAAATAAATAAATTAAAAAAGAACATTCGGTGGCCCTCAATGACTAGATTCCAGTTGCTCAGACTGAATTCAGACCCCTCTGCCTGACTTCAATCTGCCACCAACACTATTGTACGCGCTATAATACAGCTAGCCACAGGCCACGCTTTCTTATATCTCCAGGCCTCTGTAAATGCCATCTTCCATCTTGGGGTGCCTCCTTCCTCCCCCGCTCCCCCCTTTTTTTTCACCTGGCAAAAGCCTTATTTATTTCTATCAGCCAGAACCCCGGTTGCAAGCCAAAAAAAAAAAAAAAGTCCAACTTAAATGGGCTCCAGCAAAAAAGGGAAAAATTTAGCTAACGTAACAGAAAACTCCAAAAGCATTGTCAGCTTTAGGCGTGGCTAGATCAAGGACTAAATGTCAGCCTCAGGAATCTGATGTTTTCTGTTTCAAGGCTTAGAGGAAAGGGCTTCAAGCCCAAGTTTTTCAGCTCTGTTTCTGTGGATAAGTGTGTTTGCCTGCGTGTGGACATATTATGTGGGTGTGACTGTCTGAGGGTCTTTATGAGGCCTGTGAGTGGATCATGTTTAGTTGTTTTTTGTTTTGTTTTGTTTTATTTTTCGGTACGCGGGCCTCTCACTGTTGTGGCCTCTCCCGTTGCAGAGCACAGGCTCCGGACGTGCAGGCTCAGCGGCCATGGCTCACGGGCCCAGCCACCCCGCGGCATGTGGGATCTTCCCGGACCAGGACACGAACCCGTGTCCCCTGCATTGGCAGGCGGACTCTCAACCACTGCGCCACCAGGGAAGCCCCCATTGATGATTCTTGATTGCAACAATTATTCCTGTGTGTTTGCTTAATGGTAATTTTCCACTTTTAAAAAATTTTTATTTTAATATTATTTTTTATACAGCAGATTCTTATTAGTTATCTATCTTATACATATTAGTGTATATATGTCAATCCCAATCTCCCAATTCATCCCACCACCACCACCGTCCCACCCCCCGCTTTCCCCCCTTGGTGTCCATACGTTTGCTCTCTACATCTGTGTCTCTATTTCTGCCTTGCAAACTGGTTCATCTGTACCATTTTTCTAGATTCCACATATATGCGTTAATATACGATATTTGTTTTTCTCTTTCTGACTTACTTCACTCTGTATGACAGTCTCTAGGTCCATCCATATCTCTACAAGTGACCCAATTTCGTTCCTTTTTATGGCTGAGTAATATTCCACTGTATATATGTACCACATCTTCTTTATCCATTCATCTGTTGATGGGCATTTAGGTTGCTTCCATAACCTAGCTATTGGAAATAGTGCTGCAATGAACCATTGGGGTGCATGTGTCCTTTTGAATTATGGTTTTCTCTGGGTATATGCCCAGTAGTGGGATTGCTGGGTCATATGGTAATTCTATTTTTAGTTTTTTAAGGAACCTCCATGCTGTTCTCCACAGTGGCTGTAACAATTTACATTCCCACCAACAGTGCAAGAGGGTTCCCTTTTCTCCACACCCTCTCCAGCATTTGTTGTTTGTAGATTTTCTGATGATGCCCATTCTAACTGGTGTGAGGTGATACCTCATTGTAGTTTTTTTTTTTCTCATTGTAGTTTTGATTTTCATTTCTCTAATAATCTGTGATGTAGAGCAGCTTTTCATGTGCCTCTTGGCCATCTGTATGTCTTCTTTGGAGAAATGTCTATTTAGGTCTTTTGCCCATTTTTTGGGTTGTTTGTTTTTTTAATATTGAGCTGCATGAACTGTTTATATATTTTGGAGATTAATCCTTTGTCTGTTGATTCATTTGCAAATATTTTCTCCTATTCTGAGGGTTGTCTTTTCGTCTTGTTTATAGTTTCCTTTGCTGTGCAAAAGTTTTTAAGTTTCATTAGGTCCCATTTATTTTTGTTTTTATTTCCATTACTCTAGGAGGTGGGTCAAAAAAGATCTTGCTGTGATTTACGTCAAAGAGTGTTATTCCAGGGGCTTCCCTGGTGGCGCAGTGGTTGAGAGTCTGCCTGCTAATGCAGGGGACGTGGGTTCGAGCCCTGGTCTGGGAGGATCCCATATGCCGCGGAGCGACTGGGCGCGTGAGCCACAACTACTGAGCCTGCGTGTCTGGAGCCTGTGCTCCTCAACAAGAGAGGCCGCTGTAGTGAGAGGCCCGCGCACCGCGATGAGGAGTGGCCCCCGCCTGCCACAACTGGAGAAAGCCTTCGCGCAGAAATGAAGACCCAACACAGCAAAAATAAATTAATTAATTAATAAACTCCTACCCCCAACATCTAAAAAAAAAAAAAAACTATTAAAAACAAAAACTTTTTTTTAAAAAAAAAAAAAAAAAAAGTGTTCTTCCGGGTTTCCCTGGTGACGCAGTGGTTGAGAGTCCGCCTGCCGATGCAGGGGACACGGGTTCGTGCCCCAGTCCGGGAAGATCCCACATGCCGCGGAGCGGCTGGGCCCATGAGCCATGGCCGCTGAGCCTGCATGTCTGGAGCCTGTGCTCTGCAACGGGAGTGGCCACAACAGTGAGAGGCCCGCGTACCGCAAAAAAAAAAAAAAAAAAAAAAGAGTGTTCTTCCTATGTTTTCCTCTAAGAGTTTTATGGTGTCTGGTCTTACATTCAGGTCTTTAATCCATTTTGAGTTTTTTTTTTGTGTATGGTGTTAGGGAGTGTTCTAATTTCATTCTTTTACATGTAGCTGTCCAGTTTTCCCAGCACCACTTATTGAAGTGACTGTCTTTTCTCCATTGTATATCCTTGCCTTCTTTGTCATAGATTAGTTGACCACAGGTGCATGGGTTTGTCTCTGGGCTTTCTATCCTGTTCCATTGACCTATATTTCTGTTTTTGTGCCAGTACCATATTGTCTTGATTACTGTAGCTTTGTAGTATAGTCTGAAGTCAGGGAGTCTGATTCCTCCAGCTTCATTTTTTTCCCTCAAGATTGTTTTGGCTGGATTGTGTATAGTTGATTGCCTTGTCTCTGTGGGTGTTTTAGTCTTTGTATATGAGCCCATGTGGATGTCTGTTTGCAGGGGATTAACTATTTGTGACTTTGGTCCTCTGGACTCAGACCATTGGCTTGAGAGAGTGTGGGTGGCAGTGGCAGTGAGGGTCACTGGGATTTCCCAGGACCTACATGGGTGTCATGAGACACCCCTCAGAGCTACAGCATCCAGGTGGGATCCAGCGAAGCTGGGGAGGGTGTCAGAGAAGGTGGACCAAGAAAAAAAGGGGGACATTTGTTGCAGACCTATTGCTCATCAAGCTGGGGGGCTGACTCGAGTGCTTTCTCCAGCAGGTCAGGGTGCTGGGACAATTGTCCCCATTAAACTGATAAAGATACTGAGACTCTGAGAGGCCTGAATCTAATTCACACCCTGACTTCGTCTATGGGCATAAGGTTTACGAGTCCAGGCATCACAGCACCCCCATGTGGTGAGCCACAGCCAGCTCACACACATCCTGGCCCCAGGAGCTCTGCATCTTCCCTCTGCAGCCTCCCCATTGCAGAAGAGGCAGCGCCATCTTCCAGGTGCTTATCCCCAAACTCTGAAGTTGGCGTTGAACTCTCTCTCTTGCTCCATACCTGACCTGTTAGCCCCTCCTGATGGCTTCACCTTCCATGTGTAACCATTGTCCCAACCAGCCTCCTTCCCTTCACAGTCTCCGCCCAATCCAGCCTCCATCATCTCCCACCTGCAGTCCCCTCCTCCCTGGTCTCCTGTGGCTTCCATTCCCCGCTTCCCATCCACCCCCCCGCAGTCTGTTTTCCCCTGAGCAGCCTGAGGGCACCTGTTGATACTTAAGCCAGACCGTGTCCCTCCTCCGCTCACAATCATCCATGGCTCCCACCTCATGCAGAACAAATGCCAAAGTCTTCTCTTGGCCCATGTACTCCATCCCTCGTTGTTTGCTCAGCATCTCGGTTCTACATTGACTGTTCTTCACTTCCTATTCTACATTTCATGTGCTATGTTGTCTGTTCTCCATTGGACATTCTTCCTCGTCTATTCTCCATTGGGTGAACCCACATTCTGTCCTACACTGGGTATGCCATTTTCCCTGATCCTCACTGGACACTCCCTATGTTTGTTTATGCTAATGTCCCACAATCTCTGTCTACACTGAGGTCCACACTCTCATTCTACACTGTTTCATTCTATGGTGCTCTCTAAAATGCATCTCTATGGTGCTCTCAAAAATGCATCTCTCAGATCTCTGACTTCCATCATCATGTTCGTACCCAGGCCATACTTCCCATGGTGCTTCCAACCGGTGACCGAGCCCCTGAGAGACTTGGAACCCACCTGATAGTGACATTGGCCCTGGCCAACATCACCATGGTGTCCTTAGAAAGACTAGCAGTAGGACACTTCCACACAACCCTCCTTGCTTCCTCCTCCACACAGCCAGCAGGGGCAGAGCTAGGGTCTGGACCCAGAGGCCTTTCCAGAACCTAGTAGCATGTCCACTGTCCCCTTATGGCCCAGAGCACCTCAAGCTGTACATGTATAGTCACACACACATGACATGTGACACAGCCCTTTTTGGTTCCCCAGTCTCATAGACTAAAAACATGGGGCAGACTCCCTGGAAGCCAAGATATATTTTATTTACTTATTCTTATTTCCACTTTATTTTAAAATTTTGAGCGGGGAGTTCAGAATCCAAAGGGCACTACTGGGCGCCACCTAACGGCAGATGGTGAAAGTGCAGCCTCCCAGGGATGAGGACACAGAGCCACACCAAACGGCCCTGGGGCTCCCCAGTGTTTGAATGCAACATTTTTTTTTTTTTTTTGGTACGCGGGCCTCTCACTGTTGTGGCCTCTCCCGCTGCGGAGCACAGGCTCCGGACGCGCAGGCTCAGCGGCCATGGCTCACAGGCCTAGCCACTCCGTGACATGTGGGATCTTCCCGGACCGGGGCACGAACCCGTGTCCCCTGCATCGGCAGGCGGACTCTCAACCACTGCGCCACTGGGGAAGGCCCTCTCCCCAGCGTTTGAAAGCAGCCCACATTTTTATGAACTCCACACTCGGCACTTACCCTGTGGGCACTGACTTCAGAGACTGGCCCACCTTATCCACAATGTGGGTAAGATCCAGAGGCTGAAAAAGGGGCCCTTTCTGGATATGCCTCAGTTTCCCCCAGAGGACCTGCTGCCTTGGCCTCTCTCCTCCTTCCAAGTCCCTGGTCCTGCGTCTGGTTGTATGGGGAGCTGTGACTGCGACACTGCGGGGCGCCACCAGCTTGGCGGTTCATCCACCCCATGTGTATGGCCAGGGTCCTTGTGACCTGAGGAAGGGGATCCCCAGAAGGGTAACCCAGTTGGAGAAAGTTGCACCTGCGTGGTGACCATGGTGCATGTGGCAATGGTGCTGCTGGGGTGGCAGGGGCTGTGTGTTCAGCTGGATCCCCAGAGGCTACTGTCATAGGCTGGGGTGGAGACAATGCCTCACCCCTCCTCTGAGGGTGGGAAGGGACAGAAGGGAGCAGGTGGGGAGGATTTAGAACCTGAATCTGAGTTGGGTGAGAGAGCTCTCCAGCCTAACTTAAACACTCCACAGAGGCCTTGAGTTCATCCTACAGACTCTGCATTCTCCGCAAGTTTCCCTGTGTTGTAAGAGGGGGCTGCGAGTTGCCCATGAAACCCTTTACCCCACATCCGAGCCATCTGCAGGTCCTGGTAGCTCTACCTCCAAATACACCCTGGAGTGTCCCTCCACTGTCCCTCGGTCTGTTGCCTCTTTTGTTCCTGGACCCCACCTCCACCTCACGCCACAGAAGCCCCAGGGAGGGAGGCTTTCACAAACCTTGATCGTGCCATGTTTCTCCCCTGGAAACTAGGGCTCCAAAGCCCCAACTTCACAGGGGATGAAGGTGTCGAGGACCAGGAAGATTGGAGAACAAAGTCCAGGCTGGATCTGGCATAGGAATGGTGCTATATAGATGGCTGCTCAAGCAAGTGCGCTCACGTCACAAAAAATGGCCAGGCACTGTATACATTTTCCCCACTCTCCCTACCTGTCAAAGGAGTCCACCGAAAGTCTTGGCTGGGAAGGGGGACTATAGGAGAAAGGGAGGTGACTTTTTTCGAAGGCTGCACACATTTTTGCCTCTATATCCACATCCAGGTCTGTGTGCGCTAATGGTGGAATGCAAGGCATTGAATTTTACTGAAAAAGTCCTCTGTGGAGGGCTGGGGTGACAGGGGACAAGGGTCTTGAAATTACAGCCAAGCTGGACCATTCAGCTTTGGATCTTCATAGAATGATGGTGGGGTAGGGGCATACAAATCTTATAAACACTGATACCAACACCGTGTGTTTTTCACATTCTCGTCCAGATCGGTGATCTCCACTAAGCAGACCCTTTGAGAATTGTCAGAGCCATTTCTCAGCTTGGGGCAGTGAGAGGGCTTCCTGCAGGAGCGGTCAGGGAGCTAGGCCTTGGAGGGTAGGAAGCAGTCTAAAAAGGAGGCCAGTTGAGGGTTGCAGGAGGTGGCCCAGCAGGAAGGACCAGCATGGCCCTAGCTTGGAACAGCAAGTATTTCTAAGGGCCTCAGGGCAGGAGACAGAGTGGGTGAGAGCAGCTGAGGAGCTCAGGAAGGTCAAGGGACAGATCTGAGTGTTATAAAGATCCCACTGAGATCACTTGGGGGGTGGTTGGAGGGGAGGAACAAATGGAGCTCCCTCTGGCTCCCTCCTGGACCCCCAAGTCTGCCCTCACACAGGACAGGACGAAGTGGAGGGAGTTTGCACCACCCCAAAGTGGGTGGATAAACGCCTGGCTCCCTCCTCCCTCGGGTGGAAATCGTTGGATCAAGAGATCAAGGGATATGCCCATTTAAAAGATGAAGAGTGTAGCGGCCATTCCAGCGCTCCCATAGCCCAACATTCACGGTTCCCCACTGCCTCTTGCTGCAAGCGATTGCAACCCAGCCTGAGCCCTCGACCCAACACCCTCAGGAGCTGGAGCGCAAATAGCCCAGCCCATCACCACTGGGGTGGAACCACTCTAGGTGCCCACTCTATGTGGTGCCCTAGGGCCCCCAGCGGGCTGAGCACGGCGTCACCTGCTCGTTGGCGCCCCCTCCAGGGCTCCTCCCCTTACGTCCCTGTCCCCCCCAACTCCGATCCCGCTTCTCCCCCCCACCCCCCTTCCCAAGCAGCACTGGAGTCCTCCTCTCAGGGTCAGGTTCTGGAGTGGCTACCCAAGACACGACAAGGCAAGACTGAGGCCGCTGGGGAAGAGATGGGAGGACCCGGGCGGGGGTGTGGCTCTGAGCAGCGAAGGTTTCGTTCACGGATGCCCCGTGTGTTTTATTGATGGATACACACACACGGGAAGGGGGAAACGAGCACCCCAACCTTGGATCCGAACCAGGCTTTCCCCCCTCCAGGCCCCTGCCGTGGAGAGGGTCGTAACTGCTGGGTCTTCTCCAAGGACACAGGGAGGAAGGTTGGGACCCCGCGTGCCCTCACCTCGCCTGGTGTGAGGGGCAGAATCGGTGCCACCCCCGGGCCTACTACCGGGGCCAGCCGTCGGTAGTGGGCAGCCGGCGCAGGGGGGGCCCAGGCCGTAGGGGCTCTGCCAGGGGCCGGGCCAGGAGCAAGGGGTAGGGGAAGGCCTTTGGAAAGTCGCCGGGGCCTCCAGGGGCCGGCGAGAGGCGCTCGGACTTGATGCTGACTGGTGGGGTGGGCGAGGAGGCACCGCGGGCTGGAGGGCCTTCCTCGCCCAGGCTGCGGCCCCCACTGCAGAGAGAGAGAGAGAGAGAGGAGCGGGGCCGTGAGCTCAGCGAGGGAAGCCATGGAAGTGGCATGGCTTGGGCAAAGATTGGGCAGGAGGACCTTGGGAAAGGAGGGGGTGGCGATCCCTCTTGGGGCCTCCAAAATAGCCGCCCATCCCCACCAGGACCAGTCGGGAGGGACTAAGTGCAGAACCGGGATTGGCCACCAGGGGTCAGCAGTGGCTGGGGCTTGGAAGACTTGGAGGAGCCCCACCCGTGAACCCGGGGTGGGAGGGAGCGTGCAAGGAGGCAGTCGGGGCACTTACCTGGGCTGGGCGGGGGTGACTGGGGGCCCATCACCCCTGGAGGGCTGCCAGGGGGCCAGGGTGGGGGGCTGCAGCAAGCCTGCGGGCGGAGGGGGGTCTCCCAGGCCATATTCTGGGGGGGGCAGGAAGAGTAAACTGAGGCCCTGACCTCAGGGAGCCCCTTGCCCAAGCCTGACCCACCCCACAGGCCAGTTTTCAGTTCTGGAGGGCGGGGGAGTGTGGACCCCCGGCAGGCAGGTGTGTGGACGCCTCCCACAGCGGGTGCATACCTGGGGGACCTGCAGGGAGGAAGGGGAAGCTCCCTAGTGGGGGTCCTGGGGTGGCAGTGGAGCACGGACTCTGCAGGCTACCATAGAGGCCTCTCTGTGGAGAGACAGGGGAAAGGAGAAACTGAGGCCCACACCCAGGCCACCCTGCCCCCACAGCCCTTCCACACCTTCCCCTCACTCACCGAGGTGCTCAGTCCCCCTCGGGCCCCAGCCAGGCCACCAGGCAGGTCTGGCCTCCTCCCATCCACTGCCAGGTACAGGGGCGGTGGTGTCTTGCTGCCAAGGTGGCTTGCCGAGAAGAGAGGGTGCGCAAGGCCTGGGGAGCAGGAGACCCCCAGAGAGAGGGCAGGTGGCCATGTCATCTAATGGAGTCTGAGGTCCAGAGTGATGCCCACAGCCAAGCAGGGCCAGAGCCAATATTCCCGCCTTGCACAGCCCCCCTGGGACCGCCACCCCTCCTCCCCCAGGGCCTATGCCCCATGCTTACCTGGGGGGCCAGCTTTAGGGGCTCCTGGACGGAAGGGGGATGGGCGGCTCTGGGCAGGCAGGGCCTCCCCAAGCCCACTGGGGTCACAGCCTGGTGGGGGCAGGGCCCCATATGCCATGTCAGGGCTGGGCATAGTGGGAGCTGCTGGCTGAGGGCAGAGAGGACAGGATTGGCTGAGGAATGTGGAAATGAGGGCATCAAGTCCAAGACAGAAAATCCCAATGAGTTCAGTCGCCAGCCTCCACCTTCCATAAGTCCTCACTACTCCTCCCTCTGGCCTAACGCCACATGGCTGGGGGAGCCTGTGTCTGCCTCTGTCGCTCCTTGACAGCTAGGCCCAGAGCTGAGGCTTCTTAATCAGCATAGGGTTGACACTGAGGGGGCTTCCCAGGGTGTTTGATGAATCAAAGAAAGGAAGGAACTGGGACTTCCCTGGTGGTGCAGTGGTTAAGAATCTGCCTACTAATGCAGGGGACACGGGTTCAAGCCCTGGTCCGGGAAGATCCCACATGCCACGGAGCAACTAAGCCCGTGTGCCGCAACTAATGAGTCTGCATGCTGCAACTACTGAAGCCCACGTGCCTAGAGCCTGAGCTCCACCTCAAGAGAAGCCACTGCAGTGAGAAGCCCACGCACCACAACAAAGAGTAGCTGCCACTCACAACTAGAGAAAGCCCGCGCACAGCAATGAAGACCCAACGCAGCCAAAAATTAAAATTAAAATTAAAAAAAAAAAAAGAAAGGAACTGTCTGCCCGTTGAACTCTTTTCCATCCTTCAAAGCCCCTGCTATAATGCCCACTTCTCCAGGAAGCCTTCTCTGCCCACCCAGGCAGAAACCTGTCCCCAAATTAAGTCTCTCTCTCAATCTCGGCCTCAGCCATTTGGACCTCAGAAGTGGGGGAAGGGCCCCATTCATGGCGGGGCAGGGAGTCACTTACATAGAGCCGGGGTCGGGGCAAGGCTGGGTCACCCCCATCACCTGCCAGCCTCCGCAGCTTCTCTCCTGGCCCCTCAATCACCTCCTCTGGCTCTAGCTCTTGTCCATCAAGGCCCACGCCCCTCCGCTTCAGTGTCTGTGGAAGGGGGAGACAAAAGGGTGACACTCCCCCCATCCTGGCCAAGGAACCTGGTTCTACGGGAGAGGGGAGGACCTATCCCATCCAGCTCTGTGGGCAGGCAGGGTGCAAGCACAGCCTGCTCCAGCCAAAAACCCCAGTGAGTTATCACCTAGTAAGTTCCAACTGTGTGTGAGAGAGGGACTGTCCTGCCCTGGGACCAGAGAGGCCCGGGTCACACAGTAGAGGCCGAGATGCACCCAGGCCTGCTGGCATTATCCTAACACTGCTTCTGAGTGTGATTCAGTTCCTCCATTCTGCACCCATGTGCAGCCTCGGAGCCTGGCGTGCAGTAGGTGCTTAATAAATGTCAGCTGACTGAGCACCTGAGGACAACTTTATAGGTTCTCCTAAGCTGCCACCCACATAGGAGCAGTGACCAGCACACTCCTGGACCCCTGCCTCTCCTGTGCCAGCTTCTCCCCACCCTCTGCCAGATTGGGGCTTCCTGGGTGCAGTCCTAGCCCGCTGCTCTCTCCAGCCCAGTGGCTTTAGCTTCCCGCCCTGGGTAAAGATGCCCGCATCCAAAGTGACAGTGATCTTGCCCATCCTGGGTCGTGGGTGTGAGGGCTGCCCAGATAATGCAGGGGCTGCTCCTGCCTCTTTCTCCTGAGGATACAGCAGCTCAAGCAAAAACAGTCCTGGGGCTTCCCTGGTGGCGTAGTGGTTGAGAGTCCACCTGCCGATGCAGGGGACACGGGTTCGTGCCCCGGTCCGGGAAGATCCCACATGCCGTGGAGCGGCTGGGCCCGTGAGCCATGGCCGCTGAGCCTGCGCGTCCGGAGCCTGTGCTCCGCAGCGGGAGAGGCCACAGCAGTGAGAGGCCCGCGTACCGCAAAAAAAAAAAAACATTCCTGGACCTCAGTGAGGTCTGTTTGCTTTGTGGTACCTTTTCTTCTCTGTGTCTGTACTCACCAAATGGGTAACAGGAGCAAATGAGATGATGTGTGTGAGGGGCACATAGTGGGGCCCTCGATGTTTTTTATTTCCACTATCCAGGAAGTTGCCCCTAAAAGGGACACTCTATTACCCCAAACCTGCTTTGACTAGCAGCAAAGCCAAATTGCAACGCTCATCTTTTGTGCAAACCAAGAGTCCCTAGGCTCTGAGTGAGCAGAGTGTGCTGGGCTTCATGAGGCCAGGGAGGTGGGTCCCAGGGGTACCTCAAGGATGTCGGTGTTGGTGCGGCTCTCGTGAGGCTCACTGTACTCTGTGTACTTCAGTAGCACACGGTCCATGTCCGTGCTGGCGTACTGGAAGAGGCGGTTGGCGCTATTGAAGATGATGAGGGCGATCTCACAGTCGCAGAGTACACTTAGCTCATAGGCCTTCTTCATCAGCCCAAACTTCCGCTTGGTAAATGTCACCTGGACCCAGGACCCACAGGCGGGGCAGGAGAAGACAAAGATTTGGGATGGTGAGAGGGGAGGTGGAGGGGCCTAATTGTTGCCTGAACATGCCTTGTGATTCCATGCCTTTGCATGTGCTGTTCTTTCTGGCTATACTACTCCTTCTCACTTCTTAACATGGCAAACTCCTATCGATGCTTCAAAACCCAGCCCAAATGTCCTCTCCTTTGGTAAGTTTACCTTGGCCTCCAGGCAGAGCCCACACTCCCTCTCTGAGCTTCCCCAGTTCTGTGTCTCTCTCTGGTCCAGCGCTTTGAGTTGGGTGTATTTGTATTGAGTTCCACCTCCCCTGTGACTGGGGCTCCAGTCATCAAGGGGAATCAGTGAATTAATCATCATGAGAATGAGTAAAGGCTACATCTCAAACTCCTGACATTGCATCAAGTCTCCTTATTCCCTTGCAGTTCTCCCAGATGGCCAGACCTTTGCCCAGGCCATGTCCCCTGCCAGGAATGCCTTTCCCCGAACCACTGGCCCACCCACTGAACTCACCTGCCGATTCCTTTGGTCCAGAATGCGTGAGATCTGAATTTTCTTCCTCCCCATTGTCCCAGGCTGGGTGGAGTGTCCTTGGTCTGGGGGTTGAGGTGGGGAGGAGAAGAGGACAGAGTAGGTGGGTGGAGAGTGGGGACAGGCACCCCAGTCTACCCCCTATCTTCCTCCTGCCCCTGCCAGGTGCTGAAAGGGAGATGATGGGGGAGATCAAGGCAGGCTGGGTCATCCCCACAGCCCACACCCTCGACCAGCCCAGGATGCAGCAAATGCTCATTGAACACTTTCAGATCAATGTTTTATAAGGAGAAGGCTGACCAAGGGGGAAAGATTGAGAGGTATGGGTGCCCCCACCTGAAGCTTTAAAGCAAAACAAGCTGGTAACTGTGGGACCTAGAGGGAGCCTGACCCCGTGTCTGTGCAGCGGGGATAACAGTGTGGTGCATTGCCCAGTGCTGCTGGAGCATAAAATGAGCTAACCCACAAAGGGCATTCAGATCTGCCTTGCAGACGGCAGGTGCTGTGTATGCACTGCTGTTATGAATACTGGCGACAGCTTAAAAGTTCTCAATAGGCCAGGTTGGAGGGCCATCCAGTGCTGGTACCCAGTGGTGCTCAGTGATCCTGAGCCTCTGAAAGTAAGCCTGGTCCACACAGCAGACACTTTTGAACTCATTCAATCCCACAATAGCCCTTTGATGAGCAAGGTTGAGGGCTGTGGTTACCAGAAAACATATATTAAAAATATATAAAACATATATTTAAAAACTGTACTGAGGGGCTTCCCTGGTGGCGCAGTGGTTGAGAGTCCGCCTGCCGATGCAGGGGACACGGGTTCGTGCCCCGGTCCGGGAAGATCCCACATGCCGCGGAGCGGCTGGGCCCGTGAGCCATGGTCACTGAGCCTGCGCGTCTGGAGCCTGTGCTCCGCAATGGGAGAGGCCACAACAGTGAGAGGCCCGCGTACCGCAAAAACACAACAACAACAAAAGAAAAACTGTACTGAGAGTGGAAAAAAGACTAGAAGGAAATGCTCAATCTGGGAGTCAACGCTGGGTGGAAATTTATGGGTGAGTTTTTTCCCGTTTTTAAAAATTGAGATGCAATTCACATAACATAAAACTCGCCATTTTAACGTGTGCAATTCAGTGGCATTTAGAGCATCCACGACGTTGTACAACCATCACATCTATCTAGTTCCAGAAAATTTTCATCCTCCCAAAAAAAGACCCCAGCCCCATTAGCAGCCACTCCCCATTCCCCTCCCCTCAGCCCCTGGCAACCACTAATCTATGTTCTCTACGGATTTGCCTGTTCTGGACACTTCGTATAAATGGAATCATACAATGTGTAGGCTTTTTGTCTTTTTTTTTTTTTTCCTTTTTGATCTTTTGAATTTTCTAACATTTCTCCCTCAGTGATTATAGATTTCTATTTTAAAAATTGTGTGTTGGGGGGGACTTCCCTGGTGGTCCAGTGGTTCAGATTCCACGCTTCCAGTGCAGCGGGCACGGATTCGATCCCTGGTCGGGGAACTAAGATCCCACATGCTGCATGGCATGGCCAAAAAATAAAAATAAAATAAAAAGTTGGGGGGAAGCATAAGAGAAACCCTATCCCTGCCCCACCATCCAGCGGGAGGAGGGGGGAATGCCCTGGAAAGACTTAAGCTTGGAACCCTCAGACTGGGGGATGGGGTGGGCCCAGGCAAACTGGAGAGAAACTCTGGACCTTCCTCGTGGGGATCTTGGATTTCCCTGGTGGGGGCCCCAAGGGTGAGAATGGGCAGCTCAGTGAGGGCAGCATGTACCCAAGACACGGTCCAGGACTTTCCCAGCAGCCCTCATGCAGGACTCCTTGGAATCAAAGAATCATGTTGCCTGTTTAGCGGCACCCACCCCACTATACAGACAGCCGCTCCATGGCCCCCGAGATCCCCTCTGCCAACTCTATGACCACACACCACTCCCCCATCCCTCCCATGTCATAGGTGGCTGAGGCCTGCCCAGGGTGAAGTGGGTCTGCTCTCAGGTCTCAGCCAGCCTCTGAACAGAAGAGCGGTCTTTAGCAAGGGAGGCCTCTCCCTCGGCCTCAGTTTGCTGTTCTGTGAATGGGGTGGGTATGAAATACAGAGTACCTGGCACAAGGCCTGGGAATGAGCTCTTGGGAAGTATAGGGAAATGTAGGTCTGTCTCTGGGAGTAGCCATACCTGCTTCCCACACCCCAGCCCGAGGGGTCTGAGCAGGGTGCCTCATCTTCCCACAGACCCAGGGCTGGAAGTATGAGATGCCCCAGTCTGTCATATGTGGCCCGCTGTGTGACCCCAGACACACCCTCCACCTTCTCTGGGTTGGGTCTCTGAGTGGTCACAGCTATGCAAATCCCAGGCCAACGAAAGCCCCCATCTCAGCCCCCCAGCTCCAGCTTGACTTGCTAAATTTAACCTCTGGGGCTAATTTTAATCCCCGGCTGGAATCAGGCTAGTTCCCACGGCTGGGGTGCGTTATCCCCGCCCTGACAGGTCCCTGGGGACAGAAGACGGGCACTGGCCGGGAGGTCTCGGTGCCAAGATGACTCAGGAAATGCCCCCAAGCCTGGGGTCCCATGGGAACATGGGACTTGGACATGAGTCTCTGGGCCTGGAAGATCAACTCTGGCCCCTTCTCAATCTGTCCCCATTTTAGACAAGGACATCCTGGCTAGGGCAGGGTTCACATAATGGGGGAGCCCCAAGAGTCAGAAGGTCAGGGGGGGTTTCTCTGAACTGAGACCCAAGAGCCAGACAGGAAGTAAGTTCCAGGCAGAAGGAGTGGCAGGTGCAAAGGCCCTCAGGAGGGAGGAGATGCATCAATAAGACTGGAGTGAGGAGGCCAGCAGGAGAGGCTGCAGAGGCAGGGCCACTCTGGGTCCTCTGAGCTGCAGGGAGGCCTGTGGGTTTTGGTCTAAGAGAAGTATACAGCCGTGGGAGGGCTTTGAGCAAGAAGGCACACGACTTTTGGGGCTTCCCTGGTGGCGCAGCGGTTGAGAGTCCGCCTGCCGATGCGGGGGACACGGGTTCGTGCCCCGGTCTGGGAAGATCCCACATGCCGCGGAGCGGCTGGGCCCGTGAGCCGTGGCCGCTGAGCCTGCGCGTCCGGAGCCTGTGCTCCACAACGGGAGAGGCCACAACAGTGAGAGGCCCGCGTACCACAAAAAAAAAAAAAAAAAAAAAAAAGAAGGCACAGGACTTTAAAAACTTGGCCATGGCTGCCATGGGAAGCAGGACAGTTGGGGGCAGGGGTAGAGATGACAGGAAACTACCGGGAGGCCAGGGCTGTGTCCCTCTGGGCAGAGACTGGGGGTGAGGCCCCCTCTGTGCTATGCCTGAATCCTGCACTTTAAGTCACTGTACTCTAGGGCTCTTTGGGTCCTCTAGAAGCCACTAGGTCCTCTGCCATCTCTGGAGCCAGGCCTGACAGGTAAAGATGGGCTCACACAGGGGTTTGAGTCTTCTGAACTTTGATGACCTTGGAGCCCCCAATCCTCACCCAGGAACCAAAGTCATCCCCTGCCCTGGTCCTTGAGGGATCCACCCAGCACAGAGCTGACCATGTCCCTTCACTGTTCAAGCACTCCTCACGGCCCCTCACTGCCCTCAGGAGGAAGGAAGCTTCAGTCCTCAGCCTGCCATTCAAGGCCCTGTCCCAGGGACTCCCCTGGTGGTCCAGCGCTTAAGACTTCGCGCTCCCCAGTGGTTAAGAATCCGCCTGCCAATGCAGGGGACAAGGGTTTGAGCCCTGGTCTGGAAGATCCCATGTGCCGTGGAGCAACTAAGCCTGTGCGCCACAACTACTGAGCCTGCGCTCTAGAGCCCATGAGCCACAGCCAACTGAGCCCGAGTGCCACACCTACTGAAGCCCACATACCTAGAGCCTGTGCTCCGCAACAAGAGGAGCCACTGCAATGAGAAGGCCGTGCACCGCAATGAAGAGTAGCCCCCGCTCGCCGCAACTAGAGAAAGCCCACGCGCGGCAATGAAGACCCCACACGGCCAAAAATAAATAAATAAATAAATAAAAAGAAAGAAAAAAATAAAAAAAAAAAAAAAAAAAAAAAAAAGACTCTGCGCTCCCAATGCAGGGGGCCTGGGTTCAATCCCTGGTCACGGAATTAGATCCTGCACACTGAAATGAAGATCCCGCGTGCTGCAACTAAGACCCGGCGCAGCCAAATAAATAAAATAAATTTTTTAAAAAGTAAGAAAGGCCCTGCCCCAATCAGCTCCTGCCCACCGTTCTCTACCTCCAACAAAATATCTCTGCCTGAAAAGCCCTTGTTGCCCCTTCTGCACCTGGCCAACTCTGATACACATTTCAGAAACCTAGCTCAAAAAAATCCATTCCTCCGTGAAGCCCTCCCTGCCCTCACTCTGGTCTCCCAGAGCCTCCATCCATCCCCTCCAGTTCTGACTCTGTGGGGCTAAGGGGGTCGTATATCCAGCTCTCTCCCTCTCCCCAAGACTGGAAGACCCTCAGGACAAGTCAGAGGGGTGACTGGGAAGATTTGGTGAAGGGAGCAGGTCAACAGGGACACATCTGAACTCCCCCCAGCTTCCCTCAACAACTTCCTCTCAGACTCCCCCAGCTGACTCCCTACCCAGAAATACACAGGCATGCAAATCCAGCCACTCAGCGTTGACCTGCCTCAGGCCCAGGTGTGAAGGGCCAGCCAAGGAATGCGGAGGCAGGCGGAAGGCCCAGGGTGTGCATATATATTTGTACTCACATGCAAATCCCCACCCCAGGCAGCAGACAGACCTGGCGGCCCCTTCTCCAGATGTTGGCGTGACCGGAACTGCTGGGGGGAGGTGATGATGCGTGCTGAATCTGCAGAGCACGAGGGGGGAGGCTGAGGTTAGGGGAGTGCTCTTCTGTGCGCATGTCCCCTCCACCCCCACCAATGTCCAGCTAGAAAGCAGAGAGCTTGTGGCATCTGCCCAGCAGAGAGGCACAGGTGGACTCATCGACCCAGGAAAGGGAAGAAGAGTCAGGAGGAATCCAAGAGGGCGTCTCAAAGGAGGAAGCATGTAGTTGGGCTTCAGTGGAAGGGCTGGATGGGGCCCTGAGCAGATGGACAGGGGAGTGGGCATTTGAAGTCAAGAGTCCAGTACCTCCCACCCCTTTCTTTGCCCCCCATACTTGGCACTTATCAAGTGCCAACCATTGTGATAAACTGACCTCAAAAGAAGTAGAAAGCTTAAGTAGACCAATGACCACAGAAGATTAGAAAAGTGACTTGAGACCTACCATTAAAAGGACAACAGGCCCCGACAGTTTTATGGTTATTTTATCAAATCTTAAAGGACAGGAAAGTGAAATGTTCTTTAAACTACCTCAGACCTTTGAAAACAATGGGAACTGCCCAAGTCATTTTATGAAGCTCTTGTAGGTCAGAACCTAAGTCTAAAAAGAGAGAAGTATTGACCACGAAAGGGGCAATGTTAGAAGCCAGGGATTTCAAGGAAGATCTCTCTGAAGAGGTGACATCTGAACTGAGACCCAAAGACCAAGAAAGACACAGCCAAGCAAAGGAAGAGTCAGTTGTGGGGAGATCTGGTGCAAGGGTGTTCCTGGCAGGGGGAACTGCAAGGGCAAAGGCTCAGAGTGATCACGAGTTTGGCATTTTGAAAAAAAGCAAAGAAATCTCTATGGCTGGACAGTGCGAGCAAGGGAGAGAGGGGAGGGGACTGGTGGTGGGGAGAGTTGTGGCACTTGGATCACATAGGTCCTTGTGGGCCACAGTGACGAGTGTGGGTTTTACTCTGAGGGCATTAGGGAGCCACAGAGAGTTTGGAGGCAGGGGAGGGTCAGGATATGATTTTACAGTTTAAATAATCCCCTTGTACTTCCATGCATTGCTGGTGGAAAAAGAAAGAAGTAGAGCCACTCTGGAAGACTGTCTGGCACCTACTAAAGCTGAACATGCATCTACCCTTTGACCCAGCAATGCTTCCCTTCAACATTCACCTAAGAGAAAAGTGTCCGTGTTTTACCAAAGGACACAGACAAGAATGTTCTCAGCAGTCTCATTTGTCAGAGCCCCAAATTGGAAACAACTCAAATGCCCTCAATGGGAGAACTGGTAAATGATTTTTGGTAGATTCTATGCAAGACTACTATACAGCACAGAAAAAGGATGCATTCCACGTCCATGCCACCACACAGGTGAATCTCCCAGACCATGTGCCAGTTCAGCAATACTGGGCTCCCTAGAGAGGACACACCATGTGATTCCATTTATATGAAGTTCCAGAACAGGCAAAACTCACCTACAGTGATGGATATGAGCACAGTGGCCACCTGGAGCAGGTACTGTGACAGGACAGCGGGAGTCCGGGGACTGGGGTGTCCTGTTCCCCGGGCCAGGACCTGGATACATAGATGTGTTCAGTTTGTGCAAATTTTTTAGCCCTACTCCAACGATTTTTGCATTTTTCTCTATGTGATTTATCTCAACCAAAAGATTTTTTTAAAAACCTCATCCCTGGGGACTTCCCTGAACGTCCAGTGGTTAAGACTCTATGTTTCCATTATAGGGGGCATGGGTTCGATCCCTGGTCTGGGAACTAAGATCTCACATGCTGTGCGTCGCGGCCAAAAAAACAAAAACCAAAACAAAACCCAAAACAAACCTTGTCCCTAGTCGTGGCTGCCATGAGAAACAGCATCTGTCTGCGCAGGAGCAAGGTGGCCGGGAGAGGCTGGGGCAGGTGTCTAGGTGGGAGATGTGGGGCCTGAACTGGGACGGGGGTTGCAGGTAGGCAGAACAGGATGGATTGTTTGGCGACCAAGGGGACAGGATGTGCTGGTGGCATATGCCTGGGGTTGGTAGGGGGCCTGGGGCCTCAGGCCTGAGCGTTGTTCTGGAGGGGGGAACTAGGGGTACAAAGGAAGATTTCATGAGTGCCTGGAGCATCATAAACCCTCTAAGGTGATACCTGTGGTCACTAAGTCCATCAACAAACACCGCTGCAGTCCTTCAGGCCATGACTGTCATCTCTCTCTACGAGGTCTCTTAGCTCCCTGGTGATGGAGATGGGGGTCTGGAAGGAATCCCACCCTCCCACTGACCCTTCACTGCTGGCCTCTCCCTGTGGAAGGACTCAGTTTTCTCACCTGTAAATGGGAGGGAGAATCCTTCTCCCACCAGCTGGGGAGGAGGGGGCAGTGGAGGGATCTATCAACCTTGGCTTCTGGCCTCCCAGAAGCCAGAAGGAAGAGGGGCCTTGGAACTGGGGATGCTGAGTCAGCGTGCCATCTTGCAAGACCACAGTGACACTTACTGTGACACGCTGGGAGACATCAGACCCCTACTTCCTCCCCCACAAAATGGGTCACAGAATCCTGATATCAAAGGCTTTGCAGTGAGGTTTGAGAGAAAAGATCAGGAAGAGTCAAGTTCCCCTTCTTGCCTCCCAGTGGGTCTTTAATGGAGGGACAAGTGGCAAAGCCACGCTGCCAGACCCTTGAGCTCAGAGGCCTCAGTTTGGTGGGGGACCCAGGCCGGCGAGGAAAGGAGAGGAGGAAAAGAGAAGTGAGAGGCAGGTGGGTGGCCTGGGGGAGATGAGGGCCCGCGGGACGCGGCGAAGCGGGGAGGGGGCACTGCTCCTGGGCCCTGCAGCAAATCAGGCCGGTGGCCCCGCCTCACGCAACCCAGGCGGTGGTTTCATCACCTGCTCCCCAAGTACCTCATTACAGGCGACAGGAAGAGCCCCTTGGAAAGTCGGGACCCCCCCTCCCCTCTCTTGAGGGCTCCAGCGGCTCCCACCCCAGCTGCTGGCGACACCCCTCCTCCCCGAGCCAGGGTCCTGGGCCGCCTCCTCCCCTGGGAGCCTGGGGAGATGGTGGCCCAGGTAGTGGGGGGGGGCACTGTGGGTGACCTAGGGGCTGGCTCAGCCCACAACAGCCCCTGGAGTCCCTCACCTGCCCTGGGGAGAAGGCGGGCTCTAGCAGTGACTACTGTGCAACCAAACTTCTCTGGGTCTCAGCTTCCTACCCCAAAAGATGGGGAGAGTCGGCGACACCTCCCTGAGTTGGGGGGCTCTCTGGAGATAATATCGCCCTCTTTCTCTATGCAGGCAGCTTTTGCCATCACTGGGCCTGACCCCTCCCAGAAGGCCTTGGGGTCACCTCTCCTCAGCCCTGGGGTGCCCAGCTCAGAGTGAGGGCCCCGGGCAGACCCAGGAAGGGTGCTGGGGACAGGGGGTCAGGGAGAAAGCTCTTTCCTCCTACGTACAGATGGGGGGGTTGGGAGATTCCCCTCGCAGGGAGACCCCCCCCAAACACATGCATCACCCCTAACACCCACATACATAAGTCCCCAAAACACATGCAGTCCACAATACATGCAGACCCCTCCCAAACCCACACGGCTTGCCAAACACACACATCCCCCAAACACACACAGAGGCCTCTGCACACGCAGATGCCCAACTACATGCAGACCCCTCAGACACACACAGAGTCCCCCAACACCTGCCGATCCCTCGAATGTACACAAACCCCCCAGTATATGCAGACGCCCCCAAACACACAACCCCCAACAACATGCAACCCTCCTAGACACACACAGAGCTCCCCAAACACATGTAGACTCCCCAAATCCATGCTAGTCCCCCATTATAAGCAGGCCCCCAGACACAGATAGGGCCTCTATCCCCTGCAGGGGTATCGCCTACCCTCTGGCTTCCTGAGGCAGGGTGGGAGCACCCCCCAGGGGAGAGATGTGTGTTCAGGGCTGGGGGTTCTGAGGGTGGGGTGTGAAGATCTCAGGGATCGCACGTACGGACACTGCATGGGGAACACAAGCTATGCTGGTGCAAGGTGGCAGGGGGTTGAGGGGATCTTCGGGGTATTCCTGGGGACTGTGGGGGTCTGAGGGTGGGGTGTGTTACCCACGTGTGGCTCTGAATCCCAGAAACCCAGAATGTTCCAGCTGGAGGAGGTCCTTTGCGGGGGTCCCTTTGTTTATAGACCTCTCTGGCACTCATGGGGAAATGGAGGTCCAGTGGGGGACCCTCAGACCCACCTCCACAGACCCCTCCCCAGGCCTGCTCCATGAGCTGAGAGGTATGATGGCCTGGCTGTGGCTATGGGCACAGCCAGATGGGGGTACCGACTCCACTGTACACTCATTGCCTGACATGCTCCAAGCCTCAGTTTCCCCATTTGTACAACGGGCCCTGGGGGCGCCTCAGGCACTCACCCACGTGTCCCTCTACTTTAGACAGGCCTCATCTACCAGCAGATTCCCAGCTCACCTTCCGCCCCTTTCCAGGCACCTGAAACACCAGCCCCAGACAGACCTGCCACTTTCCCATTGCCAGGCTTTTGCCCCCGCTGTGCCCTCTCCCCGGAACGCCCTTCTCAGACTCACCCAGGTCTGAGACGCTGCTACATGTCCTTCAAGCCTGGGCAGAAATCTCTCTTTCTAGAGGTGCTAATTTCCCCAGACCAGATTTCTCTTTCCCTGTGTCACTTAGTCCTACCAGATATTTTTGGTGCTTCTTTGTTACTTTCTTTGATGATCCTGTTGCCCCACTAAGATGTCCGTTCCACGAGGGCAAGGATGGAGCCTTCCCAATGCCCGGCACACAGTAGGTCCGCAATCACCCTTCCTTGAATGAATGAGCAAACAACTGCTTAACAAACGGAAGAAACATCAGCAACGGGTTCCGTTTTCTTTTAAATACCTCACGGTTCACAAAACAAATTTGAGGTCCCATCTGGCCCACAGGCCACCAGTTTGAGGGGGCCCCTGCTCCCCCACTCCTCTCTAAACAGCCCACAGCACGACAGCCCACTGGATGGTGCTCATGCTTCTCTCAGGCCAAGGGGCTGACCCTCTGAAGGTTCCAGTGCCTGCCGTGGAAGGAAACTATGTCCCGGGGTCATGCAGGACCTGGCTGCCCTCACTGTCCACTGAAGGTCCTGCCAGGAAGGCCATTTTCTCTGTCATGGCCACTGCAAATGGAGACGTGCCCCATCCCACCTCCCGTGGGGCTTGGGACTCCTACCCCTGGCGCTGAGAGAGACCATACATTCAGAACCCAACTCTGCTATCTCACACAGGTCAGAGCCCTCGGCCACTGAAGGCCCCCAAAGATGTCCCCTAAGCTGCGGTGGCAGCTGCAGGAACAACCCGAGGCTTCTCTTTCTTTGTTCCAAAGAAAGATCTCCCCGTAGGGCCCCAGAAATTCATCCCCAGAGGCCCAGACCTCCCAGCTTGGGAAATTAGCACATCTGTCAGAGCTGAGAGGAAGACACTCAGCCCATAGCCCAGCAGACCCAAGACGCAGCCAGTGGGGAACCCAAGATGGGGCCTTTGAGGTATCCCTGGTCCCCACTTTCTTCCCCAAGAAATGTCTGGGAGCTGACCAAGGTGCCAGGGACGCAAGGGCAGGGAGTGGACAGACCCGTCTGACCTTTCCCATTGCCCAGTCTGGTGGGGGAGACGACAGACACGTAAACTGTCAGGGACAGAGCCCTCACCAATGAAATTCTACAGGGCAGGGGTCCCCAACTCCCGGGCTGTGGACCGCTACCATTTGCAGCCTCTTAGGGACCCTGCTGCACAGCAGGAGGGGAGTGGAGGGCGAACAAGCGAAGCTTCATCTGCCGCTCCCCATCTCTCACATTACCACCTGAACCATGCCCCCTGCCCCCAGTCTGTGCAAAAATTGTCTTCCATGAAACCGGTCCCTGATGCCAAAAAGGTTGGGGACCACAGCTATAGGGGGAGGCAGTGGGGGAGGTGGCAGGGGAGGGAGCTGCTTTGGAAAGATGGGCCAGAAGGGACTTTTTGAAAAGGGGATCTCAAGGACTAGAGGACACCAGCCATGAAGGGGTGTGGGTGAGAGACTGCCTGGTGGAAGGAATGGCAGGTGCAAAGGTCCTGAGGTGGGAATGTGCTGGGTGGGTTCCAGGTGCAGGCGTGGATGGTGTTGCCAGGTATGGGTGAGCAAGGGGCATCTGGAGACAGAAGAGGGCAGGGAGGCTGCAAGGGGCCTTGGGGATCAGGGTGAAAGAGTGGGCTGTAGAGCAATGGAGAGTCATGGAGGGTGTATGAACGGGGGTGGGGGGTGGCTGCGGTGCAGTTCAGGATTTTCAGCAGACTCCGTGGCTGCTGTGGTGAGAAGTCCTTTGGGAGCAGGAGGCCAGGACAGCATCCAGTGGGAGAGGGTCGGGGCTCTGATTGTGGAAACTGGACAGAGGCAGGCCTGTGCCCACAGCAGTGACTCATTATCACAACTTGCCTGGACTGTTCCCTTCCGAGGACCCCACCTCAACCTCTGGTGAACCTGAACCTGGAGATCAGGACAGGAAAGCTGACAGGCCTGAGGCTTGCTTGGCCCCTGGCGGAGGGTGGGGTGCGGGTGGGCCTGGATGGGGCTCACAGGCACATCCACTCGGTCATAGTTTGGAGGGCCCCTCCTGTTACTGAGTGCCTGCTGTCTGCCCGGGCCCATGCTCCCCCTCATTTACACGCAGGACCAGCTTGACTCAGATAGCCCAGTGAAGCGGAGACGGCTGCCCTGTTTTATACAGGAGGAAGCAGGCTCCTTCCCAGGGCCACACGGTGGGACCCCAGATCCTCGCTCAAGCGTGGGCTTATACCACAGGGTTCTCCGGCCGTGCCCCAAATTCACCCTCGCCGACCCAGTCTGGGAAGTGGTCCTGGGCACCAGTGGGATCTGAGACACTCATTCCTGAGTTCCCTGGGGCCAGTGAGCAGCCTCACAAGCCCCCCCCCCCACAAGATGCAGGCTCAGCGAGGACCTTTGGGAGGCTGAGAAATGGGACCCAACCACTGTGTACACCCCACTCGGATTCATGGGCCTGGGCTGGGGTGACCTCTCCAACCCCACATGGGATCCCAGGAGTGTGATAAATACTCTCTGACAAATGACATCTGTCTCCAGGTGCATATGTGCCTCTAATATTCCAGAAGGTCAGACCCCCAACATGTCTATACTCATTGCATCTGAGTTGGGGTGACAAATGATTTTAATTCCCTTTCTCCTCTAATTTGCATTTTCTAGATGTCTGCCTGGTTGGGTAATGATTTAATGAAATCAATCATTAGTTGGAGATGGGAAGTAAGATCGGGCTCAAACTGCTCAGGTCACAGGGTCAGAAAGGGGTAGCGATTTGTCTGAGGTCACACAGAGAGGAGAGAGGAAGCTGGGGCACCTCACTCCTGGCTTTAGTTCTCCTAGGGGCTGAGGGGCAGCCTTGAGCCCGTCCTTTCTCTGAGGGGCCTGCGTGTTTCCACCTGGCCTCAGTCTTCCCTCCTGCAAAGTGGCAGCTTCAGACCAGATAGCGAGTTCCCAGCTCTCGCAGGTGAGACCCCAGGACCCTAAATGTCCCAAAATTCCATTCCCTGGACGCCAAGATTCACTCCTGGACTCAGACAGGTAGTGGAAGGCAGGTATGGGGACAGGAGGGAGCAAGGCTGACTTCTCCCAAAGCTCCTTTGACCTTTGAAATCAAACCCCATACACTTGTCCTTCCAAGTCTAAATACTTTTTTGAACCCCGTTTCCTTTACCCCAAGAGCCTGAAAGTTCTCATCCCCGACGCCAAAGATCCAGAGGTCCTGACCTTCCCCAGTGAGGATTCTCAGCTGGTCAGGCAGAAGGCCTCAGCTATTTCTGACTTCTTGGGTCTGCAGCTTGGGGACTGGGAATAGCCAGGGACCCCAGTTGGCAACGTCTGCTGCCCTGGACCCTGAGAGAGGCAGAGGGTGGGGACCATGACCATGAAAGTAACGCAGCCACGGGCTTGTCATGTGCTGACAACCTCGGAGGGCTGTGACTATCCTTCCTATACCCATGGCCCAGATGGGACACTGAGGCACGGGGAGGAAGTGGCCCAGGCAGCTGTGGTGCCCCACTCAGGGCTCTGGGCCCACCATCCTGCCCTCAGCCACAAAGGCATCCTGTGGGCCCAGCTGAGGCCCCACGTTCACTGCATGAGGTGCAAACCCCATGGGGTGGATGAGGGTCATGGCGGTCACAGGCACACGTGGATGTCATGCCACTTGCAGGTCTGGGGCCGCGACACACAAGGGCACACCAACAGCAGGAAGGCATGGGGTCGTGGTTGTGCACAGGGGGCTCCAGGGTGCACAAAGGGATGTGACCCAGGAAAGGGGACCACTGTAACTCACAGTCGCATACCAGGGGCTCATGGCACCACAACTTTGGACTCACAATTCCCCAACTGACACAACCCTCAGACACATGCCCTTTGGACACACAACCCCTCAGACATGACACACACTCCTTCAGACATAACTCCTAGACATGCAACCCCTGGGACACTCACCCTTTCGGACACACAACCTCTCAGAACCACAACCCTTGACCTCCCCACCCCCCGAACACAACCCTCAGACTCACACCCCTTGGACACATACCCTTTGGACACACAAATCCAGGACACATAACCTCTCAAACTCACAATCTTAGGACTGCACACCTCTTAGACACAACTCTCCCTCGTACAGCAGGACATTCGGACTTTCAAACTCAACCCAGCCCACAGATGCCATTCAAAGGACACCGCAAAAACCTCGGCCCAACGCAACACGCACCTGCTACACCTGGACCCTTGGACGCTCGCGCACCGACCTGGAGGAAGCAGCTCAGAACCCCGAGCGCCCGGCAGCCGCAGGGGCCTTCGGAGTGGGCGGCCCCGCCCCCGGGAGCTGATTGGGCGGGGCTTAAATTTGCATAGAGGGCGTGCCACGGGCTGCGACGGACGGGCACTCGGGCGTGGCCGGGTCCCGGGAGTTCTGGGGCCCGGGACTCAGACGCGGGACGACTCTGAGGTGGGGAATAGTATAATGAGGGAGGGGGGCCCGGGAGGGAGCTGGTTCAGACCTGCCAGGCTTCCCCCGATGTCAGTGGGCGACCCTGACCTGCTGAGCCTGACCCTAATTCGGACCCTGTCTGTAACCCCCTGCTATCTCCTACTCTGGACTAACTTCAACCTGAGTGAAATGTAACTCCGACCCGGGACCTGAAGCCCCAGGCACCGAGACTTTCTCGAAGTCAACCCTGACCCTTGCTCTCACCCAAATGGAGGGACTGCAGAGAGGGGCTCTGGGGTCGCTGAGGGACCTCGCCCAGCTCTGTGCCTCCTGCAGCTGAATGTGTGACCCACGTGCTTCGACAGGAGGGTAACAGACCCCTCGGTGGCTGGGCGCCCTCCTCCACTTCAAAGGTCAGCTTCCAGGACTGGACCCCCTCCCTGGGATCCCAGCACCACCCAGCACAGGTCCAGGCCCAGAGGGGGATCAAAGCAGGATTAATGAGTGAATCAAGGTGGAAAGAATTACAGGATGAAGATGACTTTTGACTGGGCAATCCTGGAGAAGCCCCCAGTCTGAAGGAGGCAGAGCTACCACATACTCCCTATCCCTGTGGGATCAGAACTGGGCCAGAGGGGTCAGGGAGGGCTTCCCCCAAAGAGGGGTGGAGCATTTATACTGGGCCTTGAAGCATGAGTAGGAGTTTGCCAGTGGTAGAAGAGGGAACAGGACTTGCAAAGGTTCAGAGAAAGAGTGCAGAACATTCTTTGGTGGGGGAAGATGAAGCCAGAGCAGTGAGTGAAAGTAGATTGAGCTGGGCACCCAAAGAGAGGCTTGGAGATGGGGGAGGGGGTCCACTGGGGCAGATGAAAGGGGAGAGCAGGTGGGTTGCAATGGCTGCCTGGTGTCCACCTTCTAACAAGACAACAGGAGGTGATTGGACCCCTGGACTCAGGGGAGAATATGTGGAGATATTAGTATGTGGGGGACACTGAAGAAGGGAACAGAGACCCTGCCTCTCCCCACACCTGTTTCCCCATCTGTGACATGGGCAGTTTGGACCCCCAGCCTGGGCATAGATTTCTCTTTGGACCAAAAAAACTAGGGTTCACACTGTGTCATAAAGGTGGGGATCAGGGTTCCTGCCTCTCCCACCCCATCTTTGCTGCCCTTCAGTGTCCAACACCAGATACTCAGGTGTCCCAAGAACACACCAGGGCCTAGGCCAGGTTGGGGGCTTCTGCCTGGGCTCAAAGGCACAGAACAAGGCTTGGGGAGTGTGGAGGTGGCTGGGGAGGCCTGGGGCCCTCGAGAGCTGCTCTGTTTACCCAAGACCGCCTGCCTGCCTCTTACGCAACAAGCAGGCTCTGGTTACGTGAGGGCGGCAGCTGGAGCAGCTCTAGGAGCAGCCCGGGCTGGGCCAGCTGGGGCTGCCCACTATGGGCCACACCTCTTGCCCCCTCACCACTGGGGCTTGCTCCTGTGTTCTTGCCCCTGCCACGTTGTCTCCTTCCACCACTCATGGTGGAAACACCCTTCCCATTCCGGTCCATACCATCTTCTATCATTCACACCGTTTCCTATAATGGCTCCTTCTTTCTGCCTTTACCCCTGTTCCTGTCCTATACCCTCCCCCATCGCTGGCTGTGTTACCCCATGTGGACCCACACCCCCCACTGGGCCAATCAAAAGTCTCGACCTCAGTCTTCTCAGATGAGGAGACACTCTTAGGTGCTGGAGTAAGAGGTTGGGGGGTTGAAAAGGAGATTTCGGGGGAGAAGGGAATGGAAAAGGCCAGAGAGGAAGATCTGGGAAAGGGGCCTGGAAGACGGGGAAGGTGGAGACAGGGATGGGAAGGTAAGGAGGTGTAGAAGCTGTTCCCCACAAGTCCCCCTCTCCAGATCCTCTCCCAGAATGTCAACAGGGGAAGCCTTTGAAGGATCCTCCATGGCAAGGACAGTGTGGTCCAGTGGGTAGGGCTTCAGGGTTCGAGGACCCTGGGTTCCCATCCCAGCTCTGACTCCCACTCGCTGTGTGACCTCAGGCCAGTCACTTCACCCCTCTGAGCCTGTTTGCTCATGTGAAAAATGGGGACAATAGTAGTCTCTCCTCTGGGGGGGGAGAAGCGTTTCAAGGTCGGCCTCCAATGCCCCCTCCTCCTCCAAAAGCCTTACCTATCCCCCCTCCCATCTGTTGTTCTGACACCCCCATCCCTCCTTCTACCTGAGCGCTGACCCCGTGGTTTAGAAATGTCTCTGTCCAGCTCTGTCTCCCGGAGCCTGGGCCGTGTGTTGTGGTAGCACAAAAGGGGTGTTTCCATGGGTTTCTTGAAGAACTGGAGTCCTGGAGAGGGTCTGAGTAGCGTAGGGGCATGCGGACCAATCTTGGGGCATCCAGAGGCCTTGCTGGGTGATGAGGCAGGGGCCAGGAAAGGGCTTCCCAGGGTCAGGACCCTCAGAGTACACAGCAGGCCTGAAATAAAAACTAGGACTTGGGGCTTCCCTGGTGGCACAGTGTTTGAGAGTCCGCCTGCCGATGCAGGGGACACGGGTTCGTGCCCCGGTCCGGGAAGATCCCACATGCCGCGGAGTGGCTGGGCCCGTGAGCCATGGGCGCTGAGCCTGCGCGTCTGGAGCCTGTACTCCGCAACGGGAGAGGCCACAACAGTGAGAGGCCCGCGTACCGCAAAACAAAACAAAAAACCAGGGGCTAAGAACAAAAAGCCAAAACTCAAGTCTGATTCCCATCCTGACCACTGTGGACCAACTGGAGACAAGTCACCGCCCTCCCGGGCCTCCTTTTACTCCATCCACAAATTTGAAGGAGACTGGTGGAGGGTGGGGGGGACAGTTCCAACACTTAACCCAGGGAGCCCTTCCAGGTTACCCCCACCCGTGGGTGCTAGGCTCCCTACTTGAATGCCCCGTGGCACGGAGAGTTCCCTGTCGCTCTCCTGGCTGCCCACCTATTTCTGGGAGCAAGTCTTAGCGAGCTAGGTCTGGGCATGCCCACACCCTTCACTCCGGGCGGGGGGGGGGGGGGTAAGTCGGCCAGAGCGTCGAGGCAGATGCGATGTGTTGCTGGGTAATCTGGCCTTGCGGAGCCTTAGTTCGCTTTCTAGAAAATGGAAGCAAGAACGTATGAAGTGAAAAAGGACGGAGGGTCACGATGCACCCTTCAGGATCGGCCAAGACTGGGGACGGGGGCTTGAATCAGGGGCTAAGAACAGCTTGGAGGCGGAGTGCCCGGCCAAGGCTTTGCCTCTTGCGCCCCCTTGCGGCCGGCAGGGGACGGACGTTCGCCCGGCAGGAAAGGCGAGCCGGCCACGCAGAGCAAATAACCAGCATCTCCGTGAGCCCCAGGATTTGGGGTGGTGGAGCATCTAACAACCCACAGTCCTGCATAGACCTCTTTGAGAGTACTGGCTAAGGTCATGTTCAGGGGCCGTGGGTGACAGGGAGCCCTCGGAAGGTCTAGGGCACCTCATGACTGCCCCCCACTAACTCACAGCACCTGAGCCATCCAAGCTGCCTCTGGGATACATGCAGTTACCTCATTTAGCTGCCTGTCTGTCCAGCGGGTCTGAGCCCTGGAGCCAGGGTTGGTCTCTCTGGCTCACCAGGGCATCCCCTGGGCAGGCAGGGCCTAGCTCAGAGAGAACCGTCAATGATGGATACATGGCTGCATGGCAGGAGGAGAGATGGACAAGAGGTGCCTTCAGAGTGGGTGGAGAGGGAGGGTGACTCTGTGGGGGTTACACACCAGGCAGGGCCTAAAACAGTGTGAACCTGAGGCTCTTCCCTCCCCCTCAACTGAGCTGGGGCAGGGGGAAGGCATGATGGTAGCACACAGGCCCCCAGTACACCCTAGGAGAGGTGAGAGAGGGCTGACCCTGTTTCCTGGTGGTGGGAGGCAATTATTAATACCTCCTGTGTTCCTGAACCTCCTCCCAGGACCTCAGGCCCCTCCACCTGGACCCAGGCCCTGATACCCCACCAGGACCCTCTCTGTTTCCCCTAGGGTGCCCTTGGCCTTTGCCACCCCTCTCGTCCAACCACTTCTCTGGGCCAAACTGGGGGATCCTCCCAGAGCAGTGAGCCTGGGACCCACCCTGGCTCTACCCTCGACAACTCAATTCTGCTCTTCTTTATACATTTTGCTGGGCACTTTGTTGGCACACAGCTGGCCTCGGAGGTGTACAAACCATGGGCCATGATCTCCCAGGCTTGGAATTCGCAGGGATCAGATCAGCGTGGGCTCTTCTCAAGTCAGCAGAAACAGACTCAAAGCAATTTTGGCAAATACAGTAATTTTAGGGACTCATGAAACTGAAGAATTGAGATTTTCTAGTGTCAGGTACAGCTGGATCCAGGGCCCCAGGCAATGTTCTCAGGTCCCCTGGTCCATCTGCTGAGCTCACCAACCCCAGAAGGAAGATGGTACTTTTCCAGCAAAATCCTCAGGGAAGATCTCTCATTGGATCGCATGCCCATCTCAAACCAATCACTGTGACCTGGGAGATGGGGGGCTCTGACTAGCCAGGCCAGGGTCCCACATCCACCCCTGGAGTTAGGGTGGCTTCTCCTTATGGTCTGAGCCTGAGGTGGGCATTTCTGCTCGAGGCAGAATGCAGTCCAGGCAGGCAGGTACACGAATGCCTGCCTCAGCCTGTAGAGAAGGTCCAGTCCAGCCTTCCTTGTTGAGATGGAGAAAGGTAGCACCAGGGAGGGTCGGTGCCAGACCCATGTCACACAGCATGTCAGAGGCAGGGCTGGGACCAAACTAGGCCGGGGTCTACTCTTCTGTGTGATCTCGCACAAATAATGCCACCTCTTGGAGCCTCTCTTTTCCCCTCTGCATTTGGGTGACATCTGCCTGATAGGGCTGTCTGAGGATGAAAGATGACCCTTGTGAAGCCTCCAGCACAGATCTGGGCACACAGCAGGTGCATGATCAGGACTGTCATGGTGGCAGTTACTGGTCCGAGGGGCCATGGCCGTGTCCATGGCCAGTGGGGGCGGGTAAGAATCCAGAGGCAGCAAAGCCTCGTCTCAGGACATTCATGGCTGGCCCAGAGGCTCCAGGCAAGAGCAAGAGGAATGCGCCAGCCACACTTACTTGGTCTTCTGTCCCTGCCAAGTCCCACAAGGCTGTGTCCAAGGGTCCAAGCTTTGGTCAGGCTGGGGGGCAAGAGGTGAGTCAAGGCGAGGTCTGAGAGACCCCTAGGGCTGCAGGGTAGCCCTGATGAGGTGGCGTCTGAGGAAAATCCTGGGCGAGGCTGAGGGAAGAGGTGAAGCACTGGGAGTTAGAGGGTCTGGGTGTGAATCCTGGCATTTCCAGTCACTCGCCTCTCTGAGCCTCAGTTTCCTCTTCTGTAAAATGAGGCTGTGTGTAGAGCCTGGGGCCTGGAGAAGCAGGGGAGGCCAGGACTTGATCCTGTGAAGGTCACCTACAACCCTTGGTGGGGGGCAGTCTGGGGAGAAGTGGGAGTGGAGGCTCCGAGGTAGGGAGTGGGGCGGCAATTCTGGGGAGCAGAGCAGGGTCTGTAGGTACACAGGTGGGATCGGGCGGAGCCACAGAGCAGTTTGTTCTGAGGGGCCGCGGCAGTAGCAGTAAAGGGACGGCAGATGACCCAGGATGTTCACGCCTTGCCTGGAGGCTCCAGGCAGGAGCAGGAGAAACATACTGACTGTGGACGGGTGGAGAGGGCAGCATCTTTGAGGCTTGAGGGTGGGAGGCACCAGGGCACAGGGGATAGGATGGGGGAGATTTTGGGGTGTGGGTCCAGACTGGTGGGCAACAATGGGTGGGGAAATGGGGTGGGTTGCTGACCCCCTTGGCAACCCCTCTTGCTCCAGGCCCTCCCAGATGTCCCCCAAGTGACCCCACAGTCTGTGGGATTCCTCATCACCCCGATGCCCAGAGCTAAGCCTGTCACATAGCAAGTGCCCGATAAGAACTCTGACTGCACACCCATGAACTCTGCTGCCTCTTGGCTCTCGGGGCAGCTGCTCTAGGAGTTGTGGGGGCCCTGTCCCCTGCCACGCCTCCCTTGACCCTCTGAGAAGACCTCCACAGCACAGAGCACAATCACAGCAAATGAGCAGGGGGCTGTGAGAGCTACACAAGCTGCGGGCACAGTCAGTCCCTTGGGTACCTCCAATCTGCCTGTGTCTGCCCTGCATGAGCACAGAATAACAAGACACTAGGCCTTTCTTGGTGCCACGCTCTCCTCAGATGGTCAACCACACCTCCCAGTACTGAAGCCTTCCTGCAGTCCTCGCCCATCTGGTCCTGGTCACGTGACTGGCCTTGACCAATGGGACAGCCATAACTGAAGCAAGGGAAGGCTGGATGAACACGTGCACACCGGGTGCCCAACCACCAGGAGAAGCTTGGGCTGTCCTGCTGGAGAGGCCACGTGGAGGACCAGACACCCCCCTCCCCACCAGCAGCAGACAGCACTGGTCAAGGGCCAGATGTGAGGCTACTTCTGACTCTCTGGCCCCATCAAGCTCCCACAAGAGCCACAGGTAGCACCCAGGTGAGCCCAGCAAAACTGCCCGGCTGAGTCCAGCCCAAACTGCACGACCATAAGCAGGCGAATGATTGGTGTCATAAGCCACTAAGTTTTGGGATAGTTTGTCATGCAGCAGTAGCTGACTGCTACAATACACATCACTGTACGCAGATGCGCCTAATGAAGCACTCTGACAGAAGAGAAAAGCAGAGACCAGAGTGGGGAGGGACTTGCTCAGGGTCACACAGCAGGTCAGCAGTAGAATGAAGATTCCAGAGCTGGGTGGATAACAGTCCTGCTGGGCTATGCCTGAGACAATGTGTTTGGGTAAAGCAAGCAGCTGGCATGTGGAAGGGTATGGAAAATGGGGCTCCCCTCTGTCTTGGGGGGCAGGGGTCCTTGGGATCAGGACAGGGCCTGTGGCCTGGATAAGGGGCAGGAAGATGACAGAGAAAGCACAAGGGAGATGGGCTGACAACAGCCCTGAGCAGCAGAGGGCACAGGTGCCCCTACCCTCTATCCTCCCACGGATGAAACCATCCTACAAGCCTAGGGAGAAAACTCGAGTGGTTAGTCAAGTAGGTCCGTTCTTGGATGCTGAGAACGTGGGTTAGTTCAGAGCAAGGAGCACACAGAGGCTTATGGCCCCACTTGGCACTGACCTGAGTCAGAGGGGCCAAAGCACCTCCAAGTCTCTTCCGGGATCAGGCTGAAGAGGGCGGGGGCGGTTCCTCAGGGCTGGAACAAAACATGTGCAGCGTCCATGAGGCTGAGGTCAGAGGCCATGAGGCCTGCTCGGCTAGGCTGGATTGTGCATTGGGGTCACACTCCAGTCCCCCAAGACCCCTGGCCTGAGCCTTCAGGGCATCCTCTGTAAAAATGGGACCAGCCACCCACTTCAGAGGTCGTGCCTGGGAGCTTCAAACCCCCAGGGCTTGCAAAGAGACGCAATAGCAGGTGAGTAGCTACTACGCAAGCTGCTACTGGTGCCTTTCAGAAGCACGGTGCATTTTCGCAACAGCAGGCAGAAGCAGGGCTTCTGGAAGCAGCTGGGAAACTGAGTTAAAAGTAAAAGCTATGGTTTTTGAGGCCCTACTGTGTGTATGGCACTGTGCAAGGCTTGACGCAGTGAACTCCAGTCCCAGTGGCTGTCACCCACCCGGGCCAGAGCAGCCAGAGCCAGATGGTTATTTGGTGCAGGGGAACCATCATGAACCCCTCTCACGCTACCCTCAGAGGGCAGGTTGCTGCACATCCCTTCTTACACATTTGCAAAGCCTTTTTGGTTTTTGTTGTTGCTTGTTTTTTGTTTTTAAGGCTTTTTTGGTTTTGACAGTTCTTTTGTCTCAATTATCACAGGCAGCAACACAGTTTTTTTTTCTTTCTAAGTGCCTGGTCGGGGACAGGCATACCAGAACCCCACACTGAAGGAGCCAGACACATCTCAAGCTCAAGTGACGGCTTATAGCACGTGTGCATGTGTTTACATGTGTGTTTATTAAGTTATAATGAAAACCAAAACAAAAAGAGCTACTTCTCCAAAAACTCTCTCCCCGGTATGTAAGAACTGTAAGTAGTTTTCATTTTTAGACCGTCTGGTCATTGGCTCAAAGCCTCTTTCAGCTCCGGGTGCCCTCCCAGCTGCCCTCGAGGGCCCTGCCCACCCCCTGAACCCGGCTCCCTTTCGCTCACCCACTGCAGCCACACCCGCCTCAGATGTTCCTCCAACACACCCAGCTCACCAGGCCCCGGGCCTTTGCCCTGCCACTGACGTGCCTGGAGCACCAACCCCGGGTCATCTCTGTCTGCAGGTTGTTCAAGCCTCTGCTCACACCTCTGCCGTCTCCCCAGAGAGGCCCCCCACAGCCCTTTTCCTCCTTCACATGTGTCTGAAATGTTCTTGTGTGTTCCATGTTTACCTGGTTGCTGTGTGTCTCCCCGTGAGGCCACGAGCACACCTTTCTTGGTCACTACCGTGTCCCCAGCACCCAGCCCAGGGCCAGGCACACAGCAGAGCTCAGGAGCTGGGTGCCGAGTGACCGAACTCTCCCACTACAGACGCCAAAGGATGAAAGGAAGTCACTGGCCACCATGAGATGAAGAGAGGGAGTTGTCTAAGGAGCAAGAAGTGGCAGTTCCTGGCTGAGCAGCGAAGGTCCTTACAGCAAGGAGGCTGAGAGCAGCAGGGGTGGGCGGTCCCGGGAACTACCTGTGGCCCTGGGCTGTGGCGTTCATGTGGTCTCGGATGCTGATGGCCTGTTTGAGGAGGCCCTCCACGCTGCGGAAGTAGACGCTGCTGTCGACAAGGTTCTTCACGGCGCTGAAATGGGAGGATGGATCCAGTCAGCGGCACCACGCTCTCTTCGCCCCCCAACCAGAGCTCAGCGGATGCCTGTGCGGGCCAGCACTCATCAGGCACCTGGAGGATTCCATAGGCCTCCCTGAGGGCTCCCTGTGGGCTTAAAGTTTAGACTTCCCTATGCAACAGAGCACTGGATGGCAACATGCAACTTTCGCTTAACGGCTGCTAGACTATCTAATGCTTTGAAGGAGCTATAAGCACGCAAAAGTGACCTCAAAAATATCTTGCTTTCCTCTTAGGTAACCTATTCCTGCCTCTGAAGGAAGCTTGTCAACTGGACTGTGAAAAGCTCTAGAGGTGAGTTTAGACTCATCGCCATTAGAGGGGCACTACTGCAAAGCTGTGCCAAACTCTGGTGTTGAAGCTACACTGATGGATGTCTAATGAAAATGTCCCTTCCAACAGCACTACAGGAACATATTCACCAAGCCACGTGGGGCCTTGCTAACGCCAGAAAGTTGCCTGTGCAACGACACCTGCAGTAAAAATAAGAGGGTCGTTTTAAAGTCCTTCTGTTAAAGACAAAGAAATCACTCCCATTTATTATCAGTCAGGGACCTGCTTATGGCTATGAGATCAAAAGGCGGGAGCGTCGGCTGTTGCCGCTCCGTTAACTTGCTCATCTGACACCACCAAATGTAGTCAGCTTTCCTAGTGCCCGTCCACCTTGATAAAAAGCTATCTAGGGCTTCCCTGGTGGCGCAGTGGTTGAGAGTCCACCTGCCGATGCAGGGGACACGGGTTCGTGCCCTGGTCTGGGAAGATCCCACATGCCGTCGAGCGGCTGGGCCCGTGAGCCATGGCCGCTGGGCCTGCGCGTCCGGAGCCTGTGCTCCGCAACGGGAGAGGCCACAACAGTGAGAGGCCCGCGTACCGCAAAAAAAAAAAAGCTATCTAACGTAAGCTCACTACTGAATAGTTCACCCCAACCAATATACCATTTTAACATCTTTCAGTTTTACACCAACCATTAATGCTGCATAAAGCATTTAGACAACTAAAAGGGCACTTTCATGTCCGTAAAGGAAACAGTCTTTCAGCATTAGAGAAATTCACAGCTCACTAAAGAGAAGTGCTCAGAGCTCGGAGCAGACTGGCCCCCCGCCTAGCCTAGGGCTGCTAAGCACTTGAAATATGGTTCATGAGACTGAGGAGCTGAATCTTCCATTTTATTTCATTAAAAGTTAAGTGTAAACAGCCACCTGGGATCCGGGCTCCTGCACTGGATGGATAGCACGGCTAGAGGAACTGGGAGAAAGTACAGACTGATTTGTTATTCCTTGAACCTGGACCTTTCTGATGAACTCTGGGCTGTCTGGGAACTATTCAGCAGCTGCGAGAAAAACTCCCATTTCTTTTCTACTCTTCCTGGAGCTAAGGAGGGCGTCTGTGACCACCATCCTCAGGAAGATGCCATCTGTCTGGGTCACCCTCCCGTCCCAGCGGAAGGGCCAAGGCTGGTGAAGGCAGAACTCCCAGCGGCATGACTTCCTGTCAAGGAACCTTTGCCCACACAACAGAAACAGGCAGGCAAACCGCACAGTGCCACGGACGAGAGCTGCTGGGGAGTATCCAGCCTCCACCAAAACAACCCACAGCCCAAGCCAGGGGCAAACAGCACTCCTAATTAAAGTCGCCAACTCCTAAAGCAAACGGAACAAGCCAGGTCATGAAATACAGTCATGGGGAACAGAACCAACAGGAGCACAGGAGGCAAGGCTGGCAAAGCTGCAACAATGGGAAGAAACACCAACTACTGCTTTTTATTCTCAGGCATGTCTTTCACTTGGGGTTAAAAAATCTGGATATTTAGAGAAAGTTAAACAAACAAAAATAATAAATGGTATATCCACGGTCACAGAAGCTTTATTCATAGTAGCCAAAACATGGAAGCAACCCAGATGTCCATCAACAGATGAATGGATAAACAAAATGTGGTCCATCCATATGATAGAATATTACTCAGCCCTAAAAAAGGAAATTCTGACACACGCTACAACATGGATGAACCTTGAAGACATTACAGTAAGTGAAAGAAGTTGGTCTCAGAAAGACAAATACTGTATGATTCCACCTATGTGAGGTTCCTAGAATAGTCAGATTCTTCGACAGAAAGCAGAATGGTGGGTGCCAGGAATGGGGGGCGGGAAACAGGGAGTTAGTGTTTAATGGGGACAGAGTTGCAGTTTTGCAAGATGAAAAGAATTCTGGAGACGGATGGTGGGGATAGTTGCACAGCATCATGAGTGTACTTAATACCACTGAACTGTACACTTAAAAATGGTTAAGATGATGAATTTGCATCTTAACCACAAGATAAAAAATTGGAAAGAAATAAACATTAAAAAATAAACAGTCATGTTCATGTTTTGGCCCTCCCCCCAGCTGCCATCCACCCCACAAGCCAGTCTGTGGTCCCCAACTGTGGGTGGGAAACATTGGCCCCTTGAGGCACCTCCTGGAGTCCTTATCAGCCCCTCCTGTGACAGATGGGGAGGGGCTGAGGGCCAGAAGAAGCCAGCAAATAGTGAGAAGCACAGGTCTGGGCTGGAATTTTGCCCTGTGGCCAGGTGAGTCCAGATCCGCATGCCTCTACTCAGGCAGGGCAAGGCTCACGGGCAGCCGGCTGAGATGCCCCTGAACACCCGGGGCATAACAGGGCGACCGCAGCAGCGCGGAGGCTGTGGCGCTCACCTGCAGGCGTACTCCACCGTGTAGATGGCTCCCTGGCTTTGCTCCTCCCACCGCTGCATGTCAGCCTGCAGGGGGTTGGGGGCTGTTAGCAGGGGTGGCTGCGACCTCCATCCTCCCAGCTCTCTGGGATGGAGCACCCGAACACCAATCCCCATGGCTGTAGAGAGCAGCCCCCTCCAGCCCCTGATCTTTCCTCCTGCCACTCCCACCCCTCATCAGTCTGGGCCTTCTGTGAACACATGGCGACTACGGCTCAGGGCCTTTGAGCAGGCTGTTCTCTCTGCCTGGCATATCCTTCCCTCACACGGCTGCCTCCTTCTCACCACACAGGTCACAACTAATGCAGACCCTGCTGTCCCCTTCTTCCAAATCTGCCCCAGATCTGTCCACCCAGCCCCTATCTCGGCTGGTGACCATGTGCCTCCTTGCTGGTGTCCCAGCCTTGACCCCTGCACCAACAGAGTAGGCCCCAGCTCACAAGGTGCAGACCCTGGGAGAGGTCGGTGGCTGGGGCGGGGACGGCTCACCTTATGCTGGGCCAGCTCGGGCAGAGAGCGGCGCACGTGCTCCTGCAGCCGGTACAGGGCCACGGATGGCTCGTTGGCCAGGACGTAGACACTCTCAGTGAACTTGTCTGTTACTGGGTCCAGGGTCGACAGTCGGCAAAGTGGGACGGGACGGTAGGGGGGACGGGGGGTCAAGGAGACAAAGCATCAGACTCCTGGTTGCTCAACCCGTGAGTCCAGCCAGAGTAAAGAGGAGTATCCAGTGTCCCTCCCAGTGGCTGGGTCACCTGTGGCCCCGGTGATGGGTTGCAGGAGATGGTCACAGCAGGGCCGAACAACTCCATCTGGGAGTCACAAAAGGGCCTTAATCTTTTTTTTTTAAATAAATGTATGTATGTATGTATGTATGTATGTATGTATGTATGGCTGCGTTGGGTCTTCGTTGCTGCGTGCGGGCTTTCTCTAGTTGTGGCGAGCAGGGGGGCTACTCTTCGTTGTGGTGCGCGGGCTTCTCATTGAGGTGGCTTCTCTTGTTGTGGAGCACGGGCTCTAGGCGCACGGGCTTCAGTAGTTGTGGCACGTGGGCTCAGTAGTTGTGGATCGCGGGCTCTAGAGCACAGGGCTTCAATCTTGATGACATTAATGTGTCCAGTGAATTCATGATCTTTCCCTTCCCAAACCCACTTACAGTGGACACTGCTACCACCTGCTCGGATCTACTCACATTCCTTTCACCCCAGTGACAAAATCCAAGATTCTTCTTCAGATGCCCACTGGCTACCAGACCCAAAAGTGCCTGGAAGTTTACATGGGTGGATGGCTCTCAGCCATGACTGACCACCGAGGGGTAGGAAAGCCCATGTCCTGTGCTGTGCGTCGAAACAACTCAGAGGTGTGACCCATCCCTGTGAGCTCCCCTGTGGGAACAGACTGTGGCTTCTTTCTGCAGGATTTTACCTGAGGTCACTCCTTGCTCATCTTCCTCCCCAGCCCTGTCCTATTTGCCCCCTCTCCTCTGTGGGGTTCTCTTGGTAAGTTGACTACACACAAATCCTCATCCCAGGGTCTGCTTCAACAAACAGCAGCCAGCTGGTTGTCCCTGCCCTTCCTACCCCATCAATGAGCAGACCCTGCTTGTTCTGTCGCAAAACAGAGCCCAGAACTCACCCATTCTTTTTTTTTTTTTTTTTTTTTGCTGTACGTGGGCCTCTCACCGTTGTGGCCTCTCCCATTGCAGAGCACAGGCTCTGGACGCGCAGGCTCAGCGGCCATGGCTCACGGGCCCAGCCGCTCCACGGCATGTGGGATCTTCCCAGACCGGGGCACAAACTCGTGTCCCCTGCATCGGCAGGTGGACTCTCAACCACTGAGCCACCAGGGAAGCCCCAGAACTCACCCATTCTTAACACTGTACTGCCCTCACTGGTCCAGACATAGCCGCCTCCCACCTGGATGTCAAACTCAGCTGCTCTCTGGTCTCCCCGCGCCCACTCCTGCCAACAATCCAATCCCCACAAAACAGATGGCATGAGCTCCTAAAGAATATATCAGATATGTCTTTCCCTTGGTTGAAACACTCCCATCAGCCAGAAATTAAATCTGCCTTCCTTAACATGGCCCTTAAGGCCCTGTATGTTCTACCTGCTGTTACCCGCCTCTGCCCTCCTCAGCCACTGCCCCAGGCACAATGGCCTCCTAGCTGGTCCTTGGACACTCTCGGCACTGTCGAAAAGAACTTTCTGCGATGATGGAAAGTTTCTATAATCTATACTGCCCAATATGGTAGCCACTAGTCACATATGGCTACTGAACACTTGAAATGTGACTGATGTGACTCAGAAACTGAATTTTAAATTTTATCTAACTTTAATTAATTTAAATATGCATAAGTACTGTGACCAGTAGCTACTGTATTGCAGCACAGCTCTGAATACTTTGCCACCTCAGGGCCCTCATACCTGTTGATCCCACCACTGACACTGCCTCCCTCCCCCCCCAACCATCATTTCTCTTAATCTCTCATGTCTCAGCTCAAATGTCACCTCCTGGGCAAGGCCTTCCCTAATCACCAGGCTTAATCAGATGTCCCTTCACCTTCACTCTCAGCCTCAGCACTTTGTTCATTTCCCTTATGCTTAAAATCTCACTCTATTTTTTTCTTAAATTTTATATTGGAGTACAGTTGATTTACAATGTTGTGTTAGTTTCAGGTGTAAAAATTCTCATTCTTTATTAGGTTACATGTTTACCTAAAATTTGATTTGTGAGGGCATGGGCTTCTCTGAGCCTGTTTCCTCATATGCAAAAATGGAATGATAAAGGTACCCACCTCAAGGTTTGTTACAGAGATGGACCCTATGCTATTGTGCAGGGCAGTGTAGTTTGTGAGGGAGAGAACCCACGTGTGTCTGGGAGTCAAGGGAGGATGTCTATGAGTCTGTCCAGTTTGGGTTTGTCCAGCTCACCACGGTGTCCTGACTCAGGCAGAGCCCAGCCTGCCACCTCCAAACTATGTGTCCTCTTACCTTCTTAGGCCTCCTTGTTTTGAAAATGAGCACAGTAGCTTACACCTCACAGTGCTAATATGAAGGATATGGAATTACATGTACTTGTGACTTCTAAATAATTAACTAGTGGGAGTTGCCTGGTAGCCTAGTGGTTAGGATTCCGGGCTTTCACTGCTGTGGCCCGGGGTTCAATCCCTGGTGGGGGAACTGAGATTTCACAAACTGGGTAGCACAGCCAAAAACAAACTATAAACAAATAAATTTGTTAAAAAAAAAAAAAAAGAAAAAATTAACTAGTAATAACATATATAATAAAGTATCAAAGACATTTATACTTTAAAAATAACTTGTGGCATTTTGTAATTTGTAACTATGTGATTTACATATATTTGATAAGTCGATGTAAACGTATGCAAATGAATAAATACAAAGGAAACAATACGCACAGCAACTGCCACGCCCCAAGCGTTCTTCCAATGCTTTACAGATATCAGATTACTGGGGGCTTCCCTGGGGGGCTTCCCTGGTGGTGCAGTGGTTAAGAATCCCCCTGCCAATGCCGGAGACACGGGTCCCAGCCCTGGTCGGAGGAGATCCACACGCCGCGGAGCAACTAAGCACGGGTTTTACAACTACTGAGCCTGCGCTCTACAGCCCGTGAGCCACAACTACTGAGCCTGTGTGCCACAATTACTGAGCCTGTGTGCCACAACTACTGAAGCCCGCGCGCCTAGAGCCCGTGCTCCGCAACAAGAGAAGCCACCGCAGTGAGAAGCCTCCGCACCGCAAGTAAGAGTAGACCCCACTCACCGCAACTAGAGAAAGCCCGCACAGCAACCAAGACACAACACAGCCAAAAATAAATAAAATTTAAAAATATTTATCAAGTTACTGAATTATCACAACAATTTAATGGGGGTAGGGAGGGAGGGAGTCTATTATACTCTCCATTCTACAGATGACAAAATCGAGGCACAGAGACTTTCTAAAGGTTTCAAAACTAGTCAGCGGCCGAGCCGCGATTTCGTGGCAGTTCAATCACACCTCCCAAACGCTCCCTCCGCGCCTTGGCCCCCTCCCGCCCCCAGTCTGGTCGCCCTTTTGCGAGTTCCTGACCCCTCCGCCCGCCCGGGGCCCCACACCACCTTTCTTTCCCTTGAGCTGCATCTCCGGTTCCTCCATGGTGGCTGCGGCCCTATTTCGAGGACAGGAACCGGAAGTCTGGGGTGGAGACAGCTGCCTAAACCATCCCTGGGAAACTGGGGCACCGCATTTCTCCAGTTCCGCTACTCATTGGCCTGCCCTCCTCGATCTTTAGTCTACCCAGACAGGAGAAGGGCTGTGAGTTAGAGACTGGGGAAAGAGGCAATCGGCAGGTGGGTGAAGAGGGGCCGGGAACCCCCTGAAGCTCCAGGAGGGACACTCAAGCAGGGGAAGGGCGCCCTCCTTTACCGAACCCCTTTTCCGGGGGCATATTGGGGGACTACTCCACACAGTGCCCACTTCGGGCCGTATAAACTCCCTTCTTGTACCCCTCTGCTGCCACCAAATCCCTGCACATACTCCTGAGCCCCCAGGACCGCACAGGAGACATTGTTATGGACGGGGACGCCGTCTGTCCGAAGGTGGAGCCACTTGGCTCCCTCTGGGAAAACCTGTGGGTGGTATTGGGAGTGAGGGAGGAGAAGGTCAGGGAACTCTTGAGAGCCCTCTGAGGCCCCGCCCACCCCTCCCGTTCCTACTAGGCTCCCTCCCGAGCGGCGGGGACGAGGAAGCGCAGGCGCAATTCCACAGCTCTTGCCCCAGCGGAAGCCACGCCCCCCAAGCCTTAAAGGGCCAGAAACAGCTCATACAGCTCCAGCCCTTCCGCACTTTCGTGGGGGCGGGGGGTCGGAGGCGCGCAGGCGCAGTGGAGGCACTCTGCGGTGTGGGTAGCGGTCGCGTATCAAGTTGCTCTCTGTCCCGGCAGAAGCAGCCAGGGCGCAGAGGGTCCAGGCTCCATTTTGCTACCCACTACATCAATTGGAAGAGAAAAGTTTGTGAGTTGGGCCCCCAAGTTTGGGGGGACCCGGGCTTGCGGCGTGGAGTGACAGAGGAGGCTCGTTGGAGGTGAGTGGACCTCCTGGATTGACTTGGGAGGGGCGGGTGGGATGCAACCAATCACATCTTTGTTGAGCCCTCACTCATTCTAGGGATTCCCCCCTCAAAAAAACAAAAACAAAAACACAGCGGACGTTTAAGATCTGCCCGTGTATCAGGCCTGCTGCTTAGATATTTACAGACATGATTTTTTTAGTCCTCCTTTCCCCCATTTTACTAATGAAGACACTGAGGCTTAGAGAAATTAAGTAATGTGCCCAAGTTTTCACAGCCTATAAGTGGAGGGATTCAAACCCAGATGGCTGACCCCAGAGCCAGGGCTTTTAAGCAATGCATATTGTATGTGCTCTGGTGTTGGGGAGGAGGGGGCCTGAGAAGCAGTTGGACTCTGGTTTTAATTTCCTGGCTGAGTCTTAGTTTACCCACCCTCACTGTGTGAGGCCAGGTATGCAGTCAGTGCCTATTTAATGAGTTGTCAATAATTATTGCCATCTCTCCCTGTTTGGCCTTTCCACCAGCTTCCCCATGGAGCCCACCCAGCCTGCAGAGGATCTCAGCCTGACCCAGCAGCCTTCTACCCCAGAATTTGGGGACCCCGAAGACCCCAGGGGTGAGGCCCCTGACGGCTCAGACACTGTGGTCCTCAGTCTCTTCCCCTGCACCCCGGAGCCTGGGAATCCTGAACCAGATTCTGGTACCTCCTCACCTCAAGGTAGGATACTTACCCTGGACTCCTGCTTCTGGGATGCAAGAACGGTGGAATGTCAGGCCCAAGATGGGACTTCTGTCTTTGTGTCCTTGGATGTGTCTTCCATCTCCACCCTGTGAGGGGTTGCTTATTATTTTTTTAAATTGTGGTAAAATTCACGTAACATAAAAGTTACCATTTTAACCAGAATTGCTTACAATTCAGTGGCAGTAAGTACATTCACAATGGTGTATAACTTCCACCTCTATGTAGTCCTAGAACATTTCCATCACCCCCAGAGGAAAACCCCAGACCCATTAGCAGTCACTCCCCATTCCCCTCCTCCAGCCCTTGGGAAGCAAAAATCTGCTTTCTGTTTCTATGGATTTGCCTGTTCCGGACATTTCATATAAACGGGTTCATACAACATGTGGCCCTTCCCATTCTGGCTCCTTTCACTCAGCAAGATGTTTTCAAGGTTCATCCACATTGTATGGTGTGTCAGTGCTTCATCCCTTTTATAGCTGAATGACATTCCACAGTATGGCTGGACCACATTTAGTTTATTCATTTATGCATTGATGGACATTTGGGTTGTTCTCCTTTTAGTGACTGAATAGTGCTGTTGTGAACATGCGTGTACAAGTTTTTGTCTGAACACATGATTTCAACTCTTTGGGGTAGATACCTAGGAGTGGAATTGCTGGGTCAGATGATAATTCTGTTTGACTTATCAAGGACCCAAGGGTTTCTTTTGACTGGAATCCTTGAACATGTCTAACTCAGCTGCCCTGGGGCCTTCGTCCCTACCATTCCCTGTGTGAAATGCTCTTCCCACACCTCTCCCCAGGTTTCTTCAACTGGCCAAGCTCTCGTTTGGTGTTACCTCCTTGGAGTGACCCTCCCTGACCATTTTCTTTAAAAGGGACTCACCCTCTGCCCTCCCTTCTTTCCACCCCCTTCCACCTGCTTTTCATTTCTCCTGAACACGTATTTTAACTTAAGCTCTCATTCTATTTCTCCATTTCTGTCTGACTCCCCAACTTGTCCATGGGCCCCTTGAGGGCAGGGACTGTCTCGTTTGTGCAGAATCTTGCCAGGGGCGGAGGAGAAATCCACACCCTGGGTATCTGGGAGGATGGAGTGAGTGAACAGTGGAGCCACGCACTGTCTCTGGTAGTTCCAAGCCTCCAGGGTCTGGTCTGAAGCCCAAGACATACTGGGGAATGAGGGGAAACCGAGGCCCTTTCTCTCTCTCCCAGCAGGCAGCTCCCTAAAGCACTCCACGACCCTCACCAACCGGCAGCGGGGGAATGAGGTATCAGCCCTGCCGGCCACCTTGGACTGTGAGTGGGACCCCGGTCCCCACGGGGGAGAGAAGTAGTGGGCTGGCAGGGGCTAAGAGGAGCAACTTTGGACAAGGAATAAACTGGGGCATGGAGCTCAGATGGGACAGGTGAGGACTCTACCTCTCTCTGCCCCCCAGCCCTGTCCATCCACCAGCTCGCGGCCCAGGGGGAGCTGAGCCAACTGAAGGAGCATCTGAGGAAAGGTGTGTGCCCACGCTCGTGTGCCGGTGTGTCTGTGCCTGTGTGACCTCACATGCTGGTGGGTGCATGTGGCTGCTGACATGACCTGAGTCTCCACATGTGTACCTATGTCTGTACGTGTGTCTGAGCATGTCCGTGTGTGCATCCACATGTATGCTTCTCCGCCCCACATCTGACCCTAGCTGCCTGCCCTGCCCCCAATTCTGCAGCATTGGGGAGAGTGGGCAGGGGTGCATCCCAGTGGTACCACCCCCCTCCTGCCAGGAGACAACCTCATCAACAAGCCGGACGAGCGAGGCTTCACCCCCCTCATCTGGGCCTCCGCCTTTGGAGAGATCGAGACCGTCCGCTTCTTGCTTGAATGGGTGCGTCCCAGCCCAGCTGGGGGCTTCCTGGGGACTCGAGGGCGGGCCAGGGTCTCAGCTGAGTCTGCTGGTGCCCTGTCTGTAAGATGGAGCTAACATGGAGATCCCAAGATTGCAGGGGATGCACCCACTCCTCCTTTTGCCCCCCCTTCTGTCACTGTCCCCCTCTGTTCCCCCCAGGGTGCCGACCCCCACATCCTGGCCAAAGAACGGGAGAGCGCCCTGTCACTGGCCAGCACAGGTGGCTACACAGACATTGTAGGGCTGCTGCTGGAGCGCGACGTGGACATCAACATCTATGACTGGGTAAGGTGCCACCCACTGGCCCTGGGCACCTCACAGGGTACCAGGCTGGCTCTGGGCGCTAAGAACGCAAGACAGACCCATCCCCAAGCCTCATAGAGCTCCCAGTTTTTTGGGGGGGGGGGCGGGGATAGCCGACACATAAACAGCTCAGGTATAGTGAATAACACTATGTTGGCAGATACACAGGGAGCTAGCTGCAAGAGCCCAGAGGCTGCTTGTAGAGCCAAGGGAAGTCAGGATGGGCTTCCTGGAAGAAGGGGCATCTAAGCTGAGGCCCAAAGGAGAAGCTAGATGGGCCTAGTGACAAGCAGAAGGAGGAACCATATTAAATTGGTGGGTGTGGGGTGTCGTAAGAATCTGGAAAAGATAGTGTTGCTTGCCCCCTACCCCTGTCCCTGACAGAATGGAGGGACACCACTTCTGTATGCCGTGCGTGGGAACCATGTGAAGTGCGTGGAGGCCTTGCTGGGTGAGTAGGAGTAGAGGCTAGCCTGAGGGGCCCTAGAGCCCCATGTGGCTCTGCAGGAATCCTGAGGGCCAGGGAAGGGTCTGAGCTCTGCTTGAACAGCTCTTGGGATGGGTGGCTGCTGCCTACTTTGCCCAAAGGATTGATGTGGGGACAGGAGGTAGCAGGAATAGCACAGGGATCTGGCCAACTGGGTTGAGAACCCACATCCTGCGTGCCTCAGAGACCCCGGAGGTGGAGATTCTATTGGCCACATTCATCAGAGAGGTCAGGCTCTTGTCCAAGACCACACAGCAACCAGCAGACCTGTGGCTGCACAGTGGGTAGTCACTGGACCTCCCGAGTCCCCGTGCCCCACCCGGGCTCCCGGTCCCCAGGCCCAGCCCTCTCTGCAGTGTCTGCTCTGCTTTGCAGCCCGAGGAGCTGATCTCACCACTGAGGCAGACTCTGGCTACACCCCAATGGACCTCGCCGTGGCCCTGGGATATAGGAAAGGTCAGCCCGAGGCACATGGGGCTAGTGACAGGGGCCATAATGGGGGGACATGTAGGCACTGAGAGGCCCAAAGGAGGCCCCCTGGCAGGGTGAGGATACCAGGAGGGCCACAGTTCACATGGCCATGGAGCCCAGCCCCCTCCACGGCGAGAGGTAGGTATGAGTAGGGGCTGTAGGCAGACCCCAGTTTGACTCCCCACTTCAGAAAATGGGGGGATCCTAACAGAACTGACCCCCTGGGGTCATGTGGGGGTGTGTGGGAAATATCCCACTCCTTCCTTGAAGGAGTTTTATTCCATTTGAGACAAGTAATTCCTCACAGTCCCTCTCATCTTTTCATAAAAGTTCCAATTGGACAATTTTATTTGGTAAGGAATATTTTTATAATTCTGAAAAGCCTCCAAAAATGCATCTTTACAAACTCAGGGGAAATAGAGGCTCCTATGAGGGGGGCCTCTGTCTTCCCAGCTGTGCTCTGGCAAGGGCTTGGATTTCCCTGTATATGAAATGGGTCCTCCATCCAGGTCCCAGGGCTGAGGCCCCTGTTCTTATCCTGAGGGGAAGGTACAGGTTGGCCTGTGCCTCTGCAGCCGCTGTTAAGTTCATGGCCCACCTTTTCCCTGTTCTGTTTCCAGTGCAACAGGTGATCGAGAACCACATCCTTAAACTCTTCCAGAGCAACCTGGTGCCCGCCACCCCTGAGTGAACGCCGTCTGCCAGGGACTCAGACACTCAGGGAACAAAATGGTCGACCCAGAGCTGGGGGAACCCAGAACTGGCTTCAAAGGCAGCTCCTGGACAGACGGTGGGAGGGGGCCCTTTCCAAGAGGAACCAATAAACCTTCTATGCAGAACTTGAAGGACTTCACTGTGCTTCCCAGAGAACTTCCTGGAGGAGGCAGCCACCCAGTGGCCTCACACCTTCTTCTCCCCTAGCACCCGCAGGTGGTAGATGACCACTCGGCCAAAGAAATCAGTGGTGTCCTCAAATGTCACTTTCAGCCGGTCCACCTCAGCAGATGGCACAGGGAAAGTGTAAGCAGGGCAGTCAAGGGAAACAGATGCCTTATCTTTTCCCACCCACCAGCCCCAGCTCAGGTACTACAAATGTGCTGGGTGACCCAGCACACTGTGGGTCCCTCTGAAACTCTAACACAGAACAGATTATCATCAGCCCATTTCACAGGTGAAGCAATGGAGACCCAGAGGCCAGTTGCTCGAGGTCACATGCCAGGGCCCACAGCTTTCAGAGGCACAGACCACCCCACCCAGAGGCTGAGGCAGGATATCTGAAGCGAGTTGTTGTCCTCAGGATAAAAGTCCACAATCTTGCTAAGAGCCTCACTCCCCTGAGAACCTGCAGCAGAGAAAGGAGCAGTGAGGCCAGCATACCCCCTCTAATCCCCCATCTTCCAGGGCCTTCCAGTACCTTCAAGGCGGCCCTGGCGACTGGAAAAGCCCCCCTGGAACTGGATCTGCAGCTGGGAGACACAGATGCGCTGGGGAAACTCCAGTATTACCCACTGGGAGGGGCCCTGGAAGCAGAGAAATAGAGGTCCATGGTCACTCCAGACTCAGAGCCCAGCTGTGCCTCTCTCAGTCACAGAGTCCATGGTGGGTGGGGAGCACAGTGAACACGGGTTCCCTCCCTGGCCAACCTAACTGTCCAGCTGGGGTGCACCCAAATTCTCAGGGTGCCCCAGACCCCTGATTCTGATTCACACTAGGGGTGGAGGATCCAGGGAGAGGGTGCCTCACCTGGTCCGAGTTCCAGCAGGTCTCCTCGTCCTGGTCGAACAGGTGCTTCTTTCCAAACTGCCGAGTGTTACGATTCAGCACCGAACTCACCCTAGAGGCAACCAGAATCGGCGTGTGGAGAGGTGCTGAGCCCTGCGGCGAGGGCCCGCCCACTACTGGGCCCACCCCTCCCTCGCCACCGGTTCCCCCATTTCTGTCCACTAGGGAGGGACTATCGCAGGCCAACGGCCCCGTCCGCTACTGCCCGCCGCCATTCACACCCCACCCCCGCCCGGGGCTCTCACCTGCTCACTGTCTCTGGACAAACCAAAGAGTGGGTCATCTCGGTTCCACAAAGCCTCGCAGGACTAAGAGCTGGGCTCAGTCCGGGTTCAAATACGGCCGCCAAAGCGCGACCTTGTTCACGCTCAGAGTCTCAGAGTCTTCACGTCCTCACCTGTAGCACGGCACAAGAACAGTCACTGCCCCGTCACTCCAGTCCTAAATGTCGCCTTGACCACCCCCTTGCCAGAAAAATTTGGAGTTTCGGGGACACTGCCGATGACCCGAGGCCAAGCCTTTCACAGTGGGTCCAAGGAAGGGAAACGGGTTTCCTGTGGGTTTCGGGAGCAGTCGCTCCCTCTCGGTGCCTCAGTTTCCCTGCAAACAGCTTGGGAAACCAACATCAGTACCCGGAACCGCGTGAACACCGCGCAGGCGCAGAGTGCCTCAGGCTCGCCCAGCCCCCGCTCCCGGGGCGCGGTTTAGTTTGAGCCCCGCCCCCTCAGCGCCCGCCTCTTAAAAGGTCCTCGTCCAGTGATTGCCTATCCCTCGGAGCTGGAGGAAAAAGGCCGGCATCTAAAGCAATTTATGTCCACTGTGTGCGGGGAGCTGTCCTTTGATGCCCGCGGGTATAGAGCCCTAGTTTTGGTGTCCGAGAGCCTTCTTATAATGATGTCATCCTACCGGCAGAATGAACTCGGCCGAATTCATTCTCTGATTGCAGTTGCCGCCTGGGAACCCCTGCATTTCACTGCCTCCCAGAGGCCAAAGGAAGAGTTGAGGAAGAGGCTACGATGGTGCGAGTACTGTACTTGAAGTCTTTATCAGCCTCGCGTGTCCCCACTGGGACACAGGAGGCCCGGTTTCCAAATCTGTCTTCTTAGTAAATGCTGCCTGGGACAGGCTTCTTGGAGGAGGGGTAATGTGAGGTGGGTTTTGAAGAATGAAGAGGAGTTTGCCAAACCGGATTATACAAAACCTCAGATACACGGCTAAAAGTTTGGTTCTCTGATTCACTAAACAACTGCCACTCCCCACTGCCCAACCCTGTGCTGAGTGATTCTGAGGACTGTGAGAGGCCTCAGTTCCAGCCCCATATCTGAAGATCTCCCAATCTGGGGAAGACAGAACTAGACACATACACTCAGAGACCCATGGGGCCAGGGCTGAGCCAGGGGGAAAGATAGGGCTAGGGGAGCAGGGGGTCTACCTGGAGGGAGGGCTTCCTGGGAGAGGGGATATTGTCCTGCACTTTAATGGGTGGGCAGGAATTCACCAGGGTGAGAAAAATTGGGGGTGGGGGGGGCAGACAGGGTGAACAGCATAAGCAAAGGCCTAGTTGGATGAAAGACCATGAATTTGAATAAAATATGTGGAGCCAGATCCTGCTGGGCCTAAAGCAGTCACGGAAGGTGTTTGAGAAAGGGCAGCACACCCATCCAATCTGCATGAATGGAGGGTTCTGAGACAGAGCAGCCACTGGCAGGAGGCTGCAGTTCCTGGCTGTAACTGAATGGTCTGGGATCCAGTCCCTTTCTTCAAGGGCTAGGGGAATGGTTCTCCTGGCATCCTACTAGTGTCTGCCCAAGTCCACACCAGGAGTGGAGGCTGGCTGGGAAACTGGGACACCAGCGGAAGGGCCGCCCCATCAGCCCCTGCCTGCCAGGACTTCCTGCATTCAGTCATGGCCTGGTGCCATCCAGACCTGGCTCTACTGGTCTCAGGGCCGGG